ACTCAGTCTAGTGAGTCTGTCACAGTTGGCCGACATCATTCCGTGTGTCCTGCCCGGGTGAAATATCAGTAATAGTGGGCGATTAATCTTGGGACGATGAACGTGAACTTTTTTGACAGCATATTAATATCCGCCGGGCCTTTAATCAGGCCACAGTGTCAGAGGATTATTTTCAGTCTGAACCGCTGGGCCACTCCTCCCTGGATGAACTATCTAACATCAGGAACATGAGTTCATTACTGTAATTAGGCCTCTCTTTTCCTTCCCCATCCCTTCCCCCTGTTCACCAGGCCTTGTGTCTTAAACACCCATAATGGCGATGCATTACTCCAGTAATAAAGGGCTGTTAGCAAAGCGCACTGCCCACCCTCCATCTGCTGCCTCCCTTGCACACACACCGACACAAAGGCAAGGGCAGAAAAGTGCCTCCTTCAGGTCACACAGAAGACGGATTCTGCTGAACAAGTAGCCTGTGGCACTCTCTATTGGTAGGGGGTGCAGGGGGGGGGGGTTGATGTGGAATGAGACATGGTACAACTGTGTTCATTAATCACTGTCACAGGGGAAGAGGCTAATAGAAGGCAGGAAAGGGAAACACGGACCACCATGTTCAGTTTATCCTGTCCTGCCCTCACTGGGAAATAAGGGCCAGCTAACCCCTTACTGACCCTGTGTAAGATCACAAACAGGGGGAAGCTAGACACTATGAACACAAGAACTTTGTTTATTCTTATGTTTTTACCTTCATTTTTGTTACGCTAAATTCAAAATAAATGGGAATTGGAGGTTAAATAGGGAAGCTCCATTCAAATATTCCAGACTATATTGTCACATGCACAATAGCGACAGCGTAGTATTTTTTGCTCTCCCATGCTTGTCCAACAAAGCAGCATAAAATCCCCTTAAGACATACAAGGAGAAGAGACATGAAATAGTGCAAGAACATATTGCAAATGACAAAAGTAAACTATACATCAAATGAGATGAAACTGATTTTTTAATGAAATACTGTGCAGTAGAATAAGATACTGTATAACAAAATAATATATAAATAAATGTGTGGACTATTAACAGATGTATGTGCTATAAACATACGTACATAACGGTTTTTTTAAGCTTTCATTGCTATTTTTATATTTTGAGTAGGGATGCTCCGATCGCCAATTTTGGGGCCGGAATCGGTATCGGCCGATACCGATCGAGTGGGCGGGGCCTAAATGGAAGATTTAAACATCACTTTAAATCTTCCATTTAAAGTGATGATTACAACTCAGTTAATGGGGCTCATTCACTGGAGCTTCCACAAACAACAATCAACTTAATTATTACATTCAGATTATGTACATTATTCAAGTTTACATTCACTTTGGATAATAACAACACGGGATAAATGAGCGGAAGCGCTCTCTTTCCTCTCTCCCTCTCCCCCTCTCCTGGCAGCCTGTCAGTTTCTCTTGCAGCTCACTGATCCAGTAATGAGTGACCCGACTGTGAAGAATAAATATATGTATAACTAGTTTAGCTTGTTCCAGAGATAGATAAAATAGCTAAGTGTGTTAGGTCTAACTCTTGTGTGTTTCGCTCCGCTCACCGGTCTGGCGGGCGGAGCTTCAGGATTTCTGCTTCACACACGTTGCATACCGCTATTTTACTGTCTTTTTCGGACACCTTAAAATAATGCCAGACCGGTGAAGCCATTTTGGCGAGCTTGTTTTGCCGCACACAGAGAAAAGTGTCATGTATTTTACGTCATGCGATCGGCTCTCGCGATCGGCATGTTTAGAGAGCACCGATCGATCGGTAGAGAGTGAGTATCGGCCGATCTCGATCGGTGACCGATCGATCTCAGCATCCCTAATTTTGAGTTTGTCAATTCTTTCCTAACAGTTTAAATCAAATGAATATTAAACTTTGATTGTTTTCTTTTCTTTCTCTGTGTTGACACAGCATTACACCTCCATCTTGTTGTCTATCTGCTCGCCACAGACTACTGTGAATAGTCCTTCACGCTGTGTTGTTGTCATGCTTTGAGATTACAGTATGTCCGTTTCTTTGTTCTTCTTGTTCTCAGTCATCTGTTAAAGCCTCTGTTGGGGTGTCCCCATTGATAAAGCTGTTTGCACAGGTGGCACATTTTGCTGTCACTAGCTCTAATTGCGAGTGTGAAAGGGACTGTGTTGAGTCAATGCGTGCCATTTGGCCGTTGGTCAGCAGACGGCCATATTGTCACCTCTGCTCACTGTCATGCCTGGGAAAAAGACCTGAGCTTTAGACACATATATTTTTGCTTGACCTACAGAAACCTCAAATACATTTCCAGCAGCAAGAGTAGCACTTTACAGTCATTTCCCCAAGAGTCTTTGTTTCTTTTGGCATCCTGCATGATGTCTCGGGGTGATGGATATTCAGTGTTTGGATTTGGCAGAGGTCCCATTTCCTCTCTGTTGTCAAGTTGAGAATTAGGATTCACAAATATTTCAGAAACAATTATCCTTCTACAATATGCAGTAAAGTACAATAGACATACAGATTTAGACTTTGTATAGGGGTCATTCTTCAAAATAAATGGTAACATTGGGGCCCGCTTACACGATGAGCACATCGGCATACAGCTCATCTTTTTTTAAATGAGACAGTCAGCAGTGCTGGAATGTGAGTACAACCATATTTATTGTTAAGTACTGCAATCGTAACCATTTTGAGGAATTTGGACTTTATTTAATGATTACATTTTACAACAACTTCTCCTGTACAATTTAGAATCACATATTAAACATTTTGCTCTTATTTTTGTCTTATAGCTGTTGTTACTATGTTACTGTTTGTTTTATGTTATGAATAGTGTTGAATAATACACGATCAAATAGATTTTGATTCATGTGTTGATAAAGATGAGACTGTGTCGATAATAAGCATCAATAATTATCCGGTAATACAATGTATGTATTATTTTGATATAGGCCATTTAGCAAGTAGTATTTTCACTCTATATTAGGATGCTGCATTTTATATGTATTTGACTGGTAACAGAGTATTTCTACACTCTGGTAAAAATACTTGTATTTAATCAAATGATCAGCACTTTTTCCACTGTCAGATCAGAACCAACTTGATAACATCATCTTCCATGTTAGCCTTTTCAGACAAAGATAAAGATGTAATCTGCATTGAAAATAAGGCGTTGGCATTGTTGAGGAGAACACTGCAACCCGGGAGATATTCCATTATTCATCGTACGCCAACTGTAACAGACAGACATATTTCCCAGAGCAGTGCTTGTCGCTACGTTATGCATTCACATGACACAACACAAAATCTTGCCGTCCTCTCCAAACCTTTGTTTAATACAGTGGCAATACAGTTTCTATGTTGTGAATGAAGCTGGTTTCATAACCAGACCAGTCTGAAATGGGAGGAAGAGGATTGTGGATAGTTTGGCAGAAGGAGCTATCATTATCAATGTACTTCTACACATTTGGGTCATGCCTGCATTAACCTGTATTTGGCCGCATACTTTATTATTTCCGGTCATCCCGAGTGTATTTGGTCTAGTCTGTCGGTCTGCAGCTAATCTTGATGTGACCCACATTTTAATCCCAAAATAGTTTACCCTCCTCCCTAACTACATGTGGAATGTAAACAGTTGTCTGGTAGCAAAATATATAATACATTAAAGGCAAGTGGACGGAGCTGAAACTGAGAGAAACCTTCCAAAGACAAATCATCTTAAACTTGCCTTCACATATTCACTGAAGCAAAAAGAAACTAGCAGTGCCCTTTTTCTCTGTGATGTGGAGGGTTTACTCTAAAACCCGGGGGGGTTTCACATGATTGCAGAAAAGGGAGGACTGAGGCATACCACCAGTCCCAAAGAACATGAAAAAAGCATTTAGGCCAATGTAGGATGACCTGGTGTCTGTATTGTGGCGTGGTGTAATCTGCCATGCAGAAGTCAGTGTTTGAGGAGATGAATCCAGCGTAGCACCTCAGTCACTTACCCCCCCCCCCCCCGGGACTCTGTGACATATCTCATGGGATGGGACTGATGAGAGAAGAGTTGCTCACTTCCTTACTGTGCATTCTTTGTCTGTTATCATCTTTATTACATTGTCCATGTCAAATTTTTTTAAACAAGGCTATATGACCAACACGCCGCTGATTTTCTAAGGTCTATAAATGGCTAATGGGGAACCAAGTGGTTTCTCTAGGACAAGCTGACCAATGTTTCACTCTCCTTCTCTGTCCTCAGATGTTCAGGTTAATGAATAATACTGCTGTTGTCAAGCTTTTTTTTTTCTCATTATAATTCCCCAAGTTAAAAAAACAAAACTGAACAAGGGTTAAACTTGAAAACATAATTTTCTATAGTTATGATAGTGGAGTGTACCACAACGTCATATTTCCGCAAATTTGTTATACGTCATAGCCCATTTACTTCATTGGGTCGTTGTTAATTTTCCTCCTAATCAACTCCATCAGATACAAAAGGCGAAGTGGGGTTGAATATGCAAAACTACCCTTCTGTATAATTTGCAGCTTGATGATGCTGCGAGCGGTTGGAGCAGATATTGGTACATGTGAACATTTAGCCGAACATCTGCCTCTTGTTGCAGTAATTTGCTTCACCGCCATCTGTTAGGCATTGGCTGGAAGCACCAACAATGATATCCATCTATCTTGTTATAAACTCATAATGGCACCAGCTCTTCTTAGAAAATACACTAATTAGCTGTATTCGATGATATGCTCCACACAGTTTCAAAACTAATACAGCTCTACATACCCCTTAGTGGGAGTTTATTTCAAGATAACAGGGTACAGACAATCTAGGTCAGCCGTTCAGTCATTGTTAATAGCTGAACTGAATGTGCTGTGTTTGGGGTCATTTTAAGGAATACAACTTCCTTTCCCTACGTTTGAAATGAAAATGTCTCAGTAACAGTGTGCTAGCCCTCTCGCCTTGTGCTAACATTTTCTCTGTTTTTGTTTCCCTGTCACAGATCCAACTCTTCCAGCTGTCGTTCTGCATTGACGGCACGCTGTGAGAAAAGACTTCGCTCCGCTGTGCCTCAGCGCCCCTCAGACACTTGTCCTTGACATCCAAATGCTGTGTGTCGATCGTCGTGCCAGCCGCCTTCTGTGAGTTATGACGACGGCTGCTTCATTGACTCAGGAACGAGGCTCCTCCTCCGCTCAGCAGTGAGCAAATCACATAATGTAATGAAGAAGTGTCCTGAAAGTCTGCTCTTCAAGGAGTCTGCTGGCAGGATATGAGTATTTTGAGCCCTGTGACGGATAACAAATCAAACCTCACGGGAATTGTGGGAGGCCCAGAAGAATACTACAGAGCCATGCAGTCAGAGGAGCTATTCAACAGGAAACTCAAAGCCCTGAATGGTAGCATGGGACCACCAGCCCCCAACATGCAGGGGAAACCTGATAAAACAAATGGAACTCCAGCCATGCCTAAAATGGGCGTCAGGGCCAGAGCGACAGAATGGCCACCAAGGAGCGATGGATGGGACGGACGACCTTCACCAAACTATCAGAGCGTGATACCAGTGTTTCAGAACGGCCAGCAGGAACACTGTGTGGAAATACTGGAGCAAGGAGAGTCAGTCTGCCTGGAGGTAGACTACTCTGACAAATACTCACTGAGTGACCTCCTCAGCCACTCACCGCTGAATGGTCTCCATCCTATCCGCCAACGCAGCAACAGCGATGTAACCATCAGTGACATTGACTCTGAGGACATAATGGACCAGCACGCTGTCAATCCAAACACTGGTGCGTCTCTGCATCGTGAGTACGGCAGCACATCCTCCATTGACCGCCAGGGCCTGACAGGCGAAGGCTTCTTCACCATGCTAAGGGGTTACCAAGTGGAAACCCTGGACCGCCGTAGCATACCGCCCATGGGTTTCCCCGAGTTGTTGCGCTGCGACGTCGCACTCTCCCCCAGCCTGCAGACAGCAGCCCAGATCGCCAGGGGTGAGATAGTCCACATTCCAGGCTACGACTACATAGACCATTCTCTCCTCTACAGCCGGGAGCCGGACAAGTCCTTCATGAGGCGCCTTAAATCCGAATCGTCTGAAACTTCCCTGTTCAGGAAGCTGCGTACCATAAAGAGCGAGAGTGATGCCTTGCGGCTCTCTTTAGAGGATGACCGGCGGCCGCTCAGCTTCCAAAAATGCTTTGCGCACTATGACGTCCAGAGCGTTCTTTTCAACATCAGTGAGGCGGTGGCAGGCAGAGCCAACCTGTGTCAGAGGAAGAACACCACCACCGGGGCTTCAGCTGCCTCCGCTGGACTCGGGCCTGGTGCTGTGGCAGGAAGCGGTGGCGGAGTCGTAGGTGGAGCGTTGGCTATGGCTATGGCTATGACTGGACCTGGACCCGGAGCAGGGATAGATAGTGGGGCGGCTGGATGTAGCAGTGGAAATACACCTATGTTTGAGTCTCCACTGGGCAGCAGGGAGGAGTTGAACCCCAAGGAGAACCTGGATGCTGATGACGGGGACCGGAAGAGCAACGGCTTAGTGCTGAGCTGTCCTCACTTTCGCAACGAGGTCGGTGGCGAGGGCGAGAGGAAGATCTCCCTCTCCAGAGCCAACAGTGCCAACTACACTGGTATGTCGGAGAGCTGCTCTTTCGAATCATCTTTAAGTTCCCACTGCACCAACGCAGGAGTCTCTGTTCTGGAGGTGCCTCGAGAAAACCAGCCTATCCACAGGGAGAAGGTCAAACGCTACATCATTGAGCACATCGACCTCGGAGCATACTACTACCACAAATTCTTCTACGGCAGAGGTAAGGAATGCTAATGATGATGATGTGTGATTTCTCCGTTAAACAGAGTTATAACAGGAGGATTGAAATGACTCAATGTTAAAGATTATTAAACTTTCCAGGCCAAATCCATTTCCTTGAAATTATGCAGAATGTTGTGTGAGCAAGTTCCCAAATGGAATAGCCTCAGATATCTTGACGGCCCGGTTATTTTTGTAGGGCCAGATGAAATAAGGGGACAGAACAATAGCAGTCTTGTGTTTGGCGCAAGGGTGTGTGTTTCACTTCCTCGGGAGAAGAGCGGTCATGTCCGCCCTGTGATATTGCTCCGAACCCCGCGGAGAAGCAGTGATTAGTCATGTGAGAAGAGAGAGGTGAGCGAGAGGGTGTGTTGCAGCTGTTCCCCGTGGGGGCCGCAGGGGTGTGACGACCCCATCCTATGAAACTTTAGGGTCAGTAAAACTATGCCAAGGTCCCAGGTCCCCTCATTAAAACACCTACATGGCCGACACTGGAAATACCACACAGACCCCGACCCATCACCGCATTTCACATATCTGTTTCCCCACTGTCTGTGAGACGCTCTCAGCAGATTGGGTTACCCATTCTTGAGCCTCCCCAGAAAACAGCTGCTTCACCTTTCACACTGAGAGACGCCTGACCTTCTTCAAAAAGAATCTCTGTGTTAGGAAAAATACTCTTCAGTGTGACAGCGTGAAAACTTAATCGAGACCCAGCGTAAAGGAATCTGCTCTACTTACAGTATGTCAGACTGTACAACTGAGCCTACTCACGCATAGTTAACGCATCCCTGGTGTAGCTGTATTATGTTTTTATCCTCATTCAGCCAAATGTATAATAGAAATACCCCGTGTTGCTGTCAGCTTCATTCTCATGTTATAGCTTTAACAGAAGATGCCTCTTTCACAGTATGTGGATGCAGCCTTTGCCCTTTTTTCATGAGGTGTTTTATCAGAAAGACAAGTCTGTCATCACCTCTGGTTCACCACAAAAAACACACACCCACACACACACACATAACAATAGACACACACACTCAATCTCACAAACATGGCTGTGTGTCACCACTTTAGGGCAAGCTTTTATCAACCTGGGCTGAACATTGATCCCATTGATTGCCTAAAGTCCTCCTTCCCTTAGCAACAGGAATGTTTGTCCCCAGGCCGCCCTTATGGACACAGTGTTTCCTTCACACCCACGGGCCAAGACTTGTTAGACACAGGTCATGGTTATATATGTGTAGGTAGACATTGAGATATACAATAGAGGGTGAACCAGGGGTTTCTTAGCCTTTTAGGAAGTGGAAGGTAATTGTTTTGTATTGGATTACAGTGCCAACACTCTAGCGTAACAGGTACAGATGCAACTTTTTGAACTTTACTTGGCCAATTGATTTCGACCTCATTGTTGAAAAGAAAGGTTGATCCTCCACATTCCAGATTCGACTTGTAAATCTCCTGCTTGCACCCTTACCTTATCGATGACATGCGGTGTGTGTCTATGGCTTTTACCTAACAGTCTGTGCCTGACTTTAACCATCATACGGCACAATGTGCAAATGTATCAGATGGTGGCAGATCGACCAGTGCATTGCTAGTCATAGGTTGCTGAGAGCTACTCATCCTGACTGTGCCCTATGGAGACATTTGACATTAAATAAAGTCTTTGAGTCACAAGAAAGTGAGGCAGACAAGTGCCGAACTTTTTAGAAGTGTGAAGTGACAGGAAGATGGAAGCGATGCATCATTTGACATGACAATCAAACTCATCCAGTCTGCATCCTTTGGCAAATTGTCAAAACTAAGTGATGAGTAACAGTGACATGTTATAGAAATGCATTGACAAAATGCTCTCACTACAAGGCAAGGCAAGGCAAGTTTATTTATATAGCACTTTTCAACACAAGGCAATTCAAAGTGCTTTACAAAAAATGAAAGACATTAAGAAAAGGGCATTTAAAATCAGTCATTACAGTCCACACTGCCTCGCTCTCTATGCTGCTGGTATTCTGATGCTTAGTGGCTCATATGCAACAAGGCCACAAGGCCTCCTACCATCATTTGACCTTATGCCTCACAGAGCATTTGGACTCACTTCTCCGTCCCTGACAAGCTCTGCATTCCTCTGGCAGTTAACCCCGCGTTGCCTCCATTCAACTAATTCATTATTCATGATGATATGTGCTTTGCCCCCACGTTAATGCCACCATTACAAGAATCAGAGAATTTACATTGCCATGCCAAAACCTCTGCAGAAATCTCTTAATGAATGTCATCGCTTTAAGTCTCTGCTGAGGGTTTTCTTTGTCGTAGGCTGAATCCAGGTCTTTCTCCCAGCTTTAGCCTGGATTAAGGGCTGTTTGCTCAAGGCACTGCATTTTGTTTGCAAAGCCTTTCTCCAGTCCATGTCCTAAACACACACTCTCATACACACAATATTATCATTAAGTACAGTGTATTTTGAGTGTCTTATTTAAGCAGCTATGACACATTTCAAATATTTGTACGATGACACTGAAATTAGCCATAATACTTATAATGGCTTAATCTACAAACACTAAAATGTTGTCTAAAGACAAGTACAGAAATACTCTGAGACTGACCTGAGGGGACTTCCTGGTGGCCGGGTGGTTAAGGACACTTACTGTGTAACCACTGTTTAAATGTAGCTCTAACTGTAAATCTTTTCATATATTCCTCATTCTGTACGGTTAATTATCGAATGAATGTCATGAAAACGAAAGCAAAATGACATTGAATGCTGTCTACCTTAATTGTATCAGTAATGGTTCAAAAGGTTCCCAACTATTCCTTTTGTTCTTAAAACGTTTTAAAAAGTCAGCATTACACATGTGTGCGTTTGGTGGGATTATACATTCATTACTTGAAAATGAATAATCTAAAGCAAATATTTTATTCAGACTCCCAAATTCATCTTTAATACTAACTGAACCATGCAACACAAAAGCATTCTTATATTGCTTTGCTCTGATAGCGTGAGAAGCGCCATGCTGCAGATTATTTGGGTCGGTGACGGGTCACCCAGGTTCAAACTGTGTCCTGGCTCTATTTTTTGATTTGTTTGTTTTTTTCCTAAATCCCAGTGCTACCACTACATGCCAATCTCTAATCCAAAGTGAATCAATGTCAAATCTCCACTGGACCCCTGCGGCTTTCTGTAATCACTGTCACAGCTCACCCATGGCCAATCCACATAATCAAACACAAATACACGGGCTATATGCTATAAATTGATATTTGATTGAAGTGCATTTCTTCAAATGTGAAAAAGGATAAAGACTCTTATTCTGACAAATCTGGATCGGTGCAGTAATAATGTGTGTCTAATTCAAATAATTATTTCCCATTTCAGAACATCAAAACTACTTTGGGGTCGATGAAAATCTGGGACCTGTGGCGGTCAGCATCCGCAGGGAGAAGCTGGACGACGGGAGGGAGAAAGATGGAATGCAGCACAATTATAGAGTCACCTTCAGAACCAGCCAGGTAACCATAATACCCCATTTGCACTTTTTCTGCACTGCTTGTTGTCTTAAACCAACGTGGAACTATTAGGGGTAGATTTGTATCGCTCTATTGAAGAATTGTCTACAGGCCCGAAAACATGCTTTTAAATGATGTTCCCAACATATGCATTCAGCAGGACAAGTTAAGGTTGATCAGCTCAGGGCTCATTCAAGCAGTGCAGGAGTTCAGGAATGCTTCAGTTTCTCTGACATCCAGAGGAGGCTCCTTGCAGCTCTCTATTCCTACAGTAAATCTGCTCCCAGCACCCTAATGTGCACAATGAGTCTGTGCCAGTTGTGACGCTGTTGGTCAGTCATGCAGACACTGATGCTGTAGTCTATCCGAGTCAGCGTGATCAGTCCTCGCCGGCTCACAGCCTCGCACACACACACCACGTGTGTACACACAACGTGATTAATCCACAAACTAAAATGCACAGTGCCACGGTCCCTGTTGGTACAGAAAGCTCTCCTTGATTGATGCTGGGTGGTCTCTTCCACTGAATAATTCAGGTGCAACAGATGTGTCAGGCAGGGAAATGTCACTGATATCCGATGCCATTCTTGGTGTAAAGCACCACTCCCACGATAAAACAATGTATCTGGGTCACGTTAGCCCTTCAAGTAGCACGCAGACACTATTTCAACTCCCCAACTGCCGGAGCATCTATTTGCAAGTGCTCCTATCATTTAGCCCCGGCGCTCTCTGCCTCTCTCCGGCCCACTCTCACTCTCAATCCTTTCTAAGTCTGTTAAGTAATCTGCTTTTCAGAAAGCCTCTTTGTCGGACAACAATTGACTGCTGACATTCACAGGCAGCATGGATGGAAATTAGATTTATGGGCGTAAATGTGTCTGTGATGCTCCAAACAACAACACCGGGGACACAGAGTGGGGGTTTTCAAGCTGTTTGGGTCAATACTTACTGGCACTTTAACGATCTTACTAGTAAAATACCACTTAACATCTAATGCTCAGTTAGCCCCTCTTAATTATTTAGAATTTGAGTTCCTAATGTCTTCCAAAGGTGCTGTAATGGAGCCAATGCCCTACATAATAGGGCATAACATAAAAAGGATATTATAACGGCCTCACACAACAGTTAGCACATAAGCCTACATTTCATTTACAGCATTTTGAAATATAATAGCTCAATAGCATCCAAATGAATACAATCACTGATGGAATGACCCTAATGACCTATATGGTAATAATGCACACGCCGACCTTACCTTAAATGGACAGTACCCCCCCAAATAAAAAGTCATTATTTATTTAGATTGTTTTAATGTGGGTTGACGAGTGTTAGAGGTTCAACCAAAGACCTCATAGTGAGCAGTTTCACATAGTAACTATTTATTTCTACCTAACTATAAACAAATGATTCCTGTTCACAAATATCATAAAGGCAAGAAAAAACCTTTTTTGATTTTGCTTTGAACAGTCCCGTTTAATATATGGTTCAAAGGGACATCAAAACCTCATAACACCCGATGATTAAACTTTATCATCTGTCTTTTCTGCCAGCTGACCACACTCCGTGGAGCCATCCTGGAGGATGCCATCCCGTCCACTGCGAGACACGGGACAGCCCGCGGCCTGCCGCTGAAAGAAGTACTGGAATACGTCATCCCTGAGATTAACATCTCGTGTCTGAGGCTGTCCCTAAACTCCCCCAAGGTCCCGGAGCAGCTCCTCAAGCTGGACGAGCAGGGGGTGAGTACATTGAGAAGCCTATAGTTTGTTGAGTGCAACTATTTTGTCTTTGTTCACAAGTTGCATTGTCAGAATGACAATTGATGGTATTAACTGTTTTTTAAAGGAGTTTAACTGACCTATTATTGTCTGATTGTAGTGACTTATTGGAGTCCTGTTGTTACTGTGAGGTTGTCAGGAAACTAGCGTAGACTTTAGAAAATCACTGCATGCTGACAGAAAATAGTGCATACATTTGGTAACATAAAACCACTATTTATTTTTTGTATGGATAAATCAAACAAAGATATATTTTGTTCACCACTGATCTTAAGGCAATTCTTAAGATTTGACAACCCCCTCTTTAATGTAATGCTAACATTAATGCTGTTAAATACTGCAGGTCCCAGAATATCTTGGTGAGCAAACCAAATTATTGTTGTTTTAATTATCCGGCCACAATTGGACAATTTGTCATGAATTAGACTTTTAGCTTGTTTTGTAGTCTAACTCCCTAGTCAATACATTGCATTACCTTTGACTACTCTATAGCAAAAAATGGTGTCTCCCCAGTTAAGGTCAAACTGCAGCAGTAGGACCCTTTTTATTTTTTGCAATAGGAATAACCTAATACAGGATATTTTGGGGGGAAATGTTGCTACAGACTCTCAGTTCATACTGACATTGTATAAATAGTGCATCACTTCCATAGAGTCAATCACTACTGTCTAACCTCATAAGACTAGAAAGAGCAGAGCTAGCTGTGGCCCCCTATTTACAGCCTTTATGCTAATCAAAGCTAACCAGCTGATGAACATCCCCCTCATTAAATCTAACCTTTAAATAAGGTAAAGCCATAACCAATTCACTATCATCCACAAATATGTTCCAGCTGTTTGATCTGAAGCCTTCAGTGCCACATATCAGTATTACACATAATGTGCTAGAATTACAGAATGTTGTGCTGTATTGATATCATATGATGCTTCTGTCTATATTTCTGATTTGTGTGAGCTAAAGAAGGAAACAGGGAAGGGATTAACTTCAAATAGCAGGTAGCTTTACCCCATATGTGGGCTGCTTATTATAGATGAACACAGGCTCCCGCATGGAGGCGTAACACAGCCAATATCACACCTAATTAGAATCAATATGAATCCCACTCTCTGCAGCCAGCATCAACTACTTCAACTCACATTTTCTGCCGTTATGACACTCAGACACAAGCCAAAGTAACTCACTTTTGACAGCTTACTCTGTCTGAGAGCAGGTGATTTGGTATTCTGTCTGCGTGGCGCAGGATGTCATCTTGCATTATCTCTGTTTGAATAAAATGGCTATTAGTGATATGGGCTCTTCATAGTCACAGGTGTCAGAGATGGATTCATTGTGTGATCTTAAGGCCTTTCATTTTTCATCTAATTAACTGCAGGATTGAAAGAATTGAGGATTAGCTGGTGCTGTACTGCTTGTCTTACTATCAGAGAATTGGCTGCTTATTAGTGTAATTATATTCATTAGCATGAACCCCTCCTTCCAATTGACAGGGGAAAGGCTTTTTATAATAGAAAGTGTCAGCCGTGTCCTCTTGTATATTAAGATTGTGTTACACACATAAACAAGAGCAGTGTAGTGTCCTCTCCAAAGTAAGTTAAATGCACTTTAGATGATGACAGACTATGTGTATCCAATTATGGCAAAGTAACTTTGTAAGTAAGTGCTCGAGGAAGTGCTTCCTGCCAGATCTCAAGGAGCTGATACGAGAATTTGTTCACCTGCCATGCAGCTCCTCATGCCTTTGGTATGAGAGGCTGCGTGCAGAATAGATACCGTCTTTGATATAAGACCGAAACTGACACACAGGGGAGAAAAATGCAATAAAGTGATGTAAGAAACTACTTTCGGAGGAGGAGAGCCCGCACTCCTCCTCACAGACCTCAAACCAAACACCCGGTGGAAGCCACTTTATATTTGGACATCAGTATTTTTGTACAGTCCTGTTTTAATCATTAATGTTATGCTTGTTGAGCAAAAGTTAAAAATGTTAAGTACCCCGTAATCGAAAATCATTTGAATGAAACTGGACTTTCACCGCCCCTCTAATGTGTTTATGCGAGGGAGCTAATATTGGACAGGCAGTGCTGCTACTCAGAAAGTAGAGCGGACTGCCAGGCCTGTTTTTGTTTGAGTACATCATTTTCTTCAACAGCGTGCAGAAAGCTTTATCCCAGGATTCATTTTGTGTGTATGCTCACTGCAGAGTCCTCTGTTTTTGTGTTAGAGTGTGCATGTGTGTGAAAAAGCTTTTCTTTTGGTGAACAGAAAGCTAGTCTAGTGAATGAGAGTTTCCCGGAGCCAGGCAGCCTTCAAATGAACCTCATGATCAGCGCTGCAGAAAGAATATCTCTGAAAGCACTGCTGTAATGGCTCTGGACGTAAGAAGAGAACAGAACATATGTGACTGTATTTTAGATCACATCGTAGATCACAGTGAACTCTCAGTGTGCCCGATGGACAGGGAAAAGCATCAGGCAGTTCATCACATTTTGGAGATTAGATTTTCTTTAGGTGATGGAAATCACAAATGATACATATTTATAAGAAAAAACATTGATGTAGAAATGAATCTGTTGTTGCATCTGGAAAATGGAATTCTTGTTTTATATAAACTGTTAATCAGCTGCTTTCAAATAAAAAAATATGATTTCACGCTTTAATTTTCTAACTCCAGATAATAAAGGCGGCGAAATGAACAAGATAAAGGCTTAGTGATGGTGAAGAAATCATGGAAGAGGTCAGAGAAAGGTCACTTATCTTTCCCTCTCAATTATGCTGAACAAATTACCATCTTCCTCAACTAGAAAGAAAAACATTTCCTCTGCAGTTCTGGGTTTTACAACTTAAACAAAGGATAAACTCATGAACCCGTCCAACTGCAAACACTCCATATCAAGTTTACTTCCACTCGTCGACAGGTAAAGCCTTTGCAGGATCATAAATCACTTCTGATGCCCACAGCGACAACTCTGATGTATAATTTAGGCTCAAGTTAGATTTGTCCCTCAACTTCAATACTGTAATCTACCACCTACTGAGGTTATTGCAGTGCAGGGAAAAAATCAACTCACTCCTATTTAAATCAATCACATTGAAACTTGAGGATTAACTTTGAGTCACCCTGAGACTTTTCTCTCCTCCCTTGTACGTTCCACATTCCCTTTTTTAGATGGTATTTCTGCAGAATGTGAACACTTCTGCCCTAAAAACAGCACAAATTGCAATAGAAATCTTTGTGTAATGATGCAATCTTGTAGCTTTGTTTTTGGGAGCCATTATTTTTAAACGTCTGCTGCATTGAGGACACTGCAGTGCAGACAGATGTCACAGTGATGTTGTGTTAGGGCACCGCTGTATCCCTCAGGTGCGCCGCAGACATCTCCAAAGGGAGCAGTGTCCTCATTTCTCTCTCCGCTCATTAAGTATTTCTATCTTTGCATTTATAGAAGAAAGAGAAGAAGAGGGGCAAACATCTACCCTGCAGCGCTGGATAGATAGAGGAATAAGTCAAACTGCTCACTAGCATCTTATGCTCAGATTTTTAGCAAGTGGATTATTTTAGCTAAACATAGATCTGTTTTATGGCATAATTCTTTATTGTCATGGCTGCTCTACCTTGACATGAGCTGATACCGCCAAAAAAACCACATCAAAGGCGGTTACACAATGAGCTTTACCTCAGGAGCATTACTCATGTGTATTTTCGTCCTGATGGTTCTGCACTTTTCAGGCACCGCTAAATTTGCACCAAAGGGCAATGTGATTGTCCTTGCCTTCGGCGGCAGGTCCGTTAAAAGGGGCAGGAGGTTAAGTGAGTCCATATCATTCAGGATGAAAAATAGAAGACCACATCATTGCACATGAGGCTATTTCCACCGGTCTCGATCGTATAATAGCTTTCCATCCAAACGCAGGAGCTTTAGTGCAGAGCGGTGGCCTGATGGAGAAAGTCATCATGACAACAGTGTCAGGAGCACAGCGGGAACCCATAACCTGTAACGGAGGGAAAAGACAATTCCAATTTGTTTCGGTTTAAAGATCATTTGTTGGCCTTCACATTCATAGAAACGTTTTTGCCGCAGTGACACATTCACCCTGGGTCAAGATCACGCTGTCCTTAGCTGTGAATTTGTTGGGTAACAGGTGACAAACAGGGGGGCTTTTTTTCTTCTATTTTTCCCCCCTTTGACTCTGTCTCTTGGCCAGCATCAGTGAGCTGTAAACCATGAACAATTCATGTTGCCGGAAAGGACCTCCCACTCTCTCCATGCGCGAAGAATTACTCCAATGTTTTATTCCTTCCTGTCTCTTCCTGAGACAGGTTCATATCAGACCTGTCCTTTCCGGATAATATTAAAAAAAAACTCCCCGTGAAGACCCGTGCAATTTAACTTGCTTGTGTATGTCTGTGAACACTACTATTTCTGACATATTTTTTGAGGCACTTTTTGCTGAACAATGGTGGAATCAAGAGTATTATTAGTGGGGTGTTGCCAATGCCATTTAAAGCCTGTTATTTCGTCTAGAATTTAAGTATAGTCTTTTAAAAACATATCAAAATGTTATTGATTGAAGCTTTGAGTTTCTTGTCATGAAGCAAAGTTCTCCTCATGCTATGTGTCAGTATTTCATCCCTCGTTGCTCCACAGCTGCTCTTAAGTAGCAGCTATTAGCTTGACTTGATTTATGCTCGGCTCCAAGCTCCTAGAAATCCATAGCCTGGCGTCACAAAAGAGGATTTCAGCTCTCTCCTAGAAGTGTTATGAAGGCCTTCACATTAGCCGTGACATGATGGAAAGGGGGCACTCGCATGCTTTTGAGTGCACAATGTGCAGCACGTAACGAGTGGTGGTGTGTGATACATATCAGCAACAGGAAAGGATACTTACCCGCTGAGTGTCTGTGTATGCTCCCCATTCCAGCTAAGCTTCCAGCACAAGGTGGGAGTGCTTTACTGTAAGGCGGGCCAGAGCACAGAAGAAGAGATGTACAACAACGAGAGTGCCGGCCCTGCGTTGGAGGAGTTCTTGGATCTGCTCGGCCAGAGGGTGCGGCTCAAAGGCTTCACCAAGTACAGAGCTCAGCTGGATAACAAGAGTAAGATTAAAGACACCAAAACTAAACACTCACATTTCAGCCCACACTCTTCTAACCCTGCTGAGTGCAGATGCTCAGCTCTGGACAATATTGCTTTTTTGGGGGTTTTGTGTGTTTTTTAGTTTTAGCCTCAATAAAGGGATAGTTTAATTTTTTTAAGTTGGATTGTATGACAGGAAAACAAAGGCCGACATAAAAAAATCATTATCGGTTAAAGTGTATTGACTTGTGATTTGTATTTAATTACATCTTCAGCTTATCTAACACGATGGCCTTTTTAGTAATGAGGCCAGAGACCTTGACTGCCCTGTCCTGTGTTACAGCTGACTCCACGGGCTCACACTCTCTGTACACCACCTACAAAGACTACGAGCTGATGTTCCACGTGTCCACCATGCTACCCTACACGCCCAACAACAGACAACAGGTCAGTAAACTCCACACTCAATCCTCTTCAGCAGACCACCGTGTTGGCTTTACAGTGTGGTGAGCCGCCGTCTAATGGCGGTAATAAGTCCCTGAGCAGCTTCCTTTAAGGATATCTTCAATTCCGAATCCTGCCAATCTTCCCCAGAGGCTCATTTCACCACGGTAATGACCTATCAGTTGAAAGCATGAGCGTCCCCATGGTAACGGTACCCCACCGTCGGATTTTAATCAATGCATCCCCAGGGGCCGGACCTGACTTGGTATTAGATGGGCCTCTGTGTCTGCCTGCACTAACAAGTGGAATTAAGTGGATGTAGACTGGTGAGCGATGGCCCGATAAAGCTGCGGTTTACAGAGGTTCACCATCTTAGTCCCTGCACTGCTTGAGTGGAAGTATTTTTTGAGCCCATAATAAAATCAGTAGGTACACCCTGCAGATGTATTAACGGTATACATATCCAGGAACAGGATCCACAGTTAGACACTAACATACGGAATCTTATCATGTGTCTAAAATATCTGATTGGCAGGATTAAAGGGGAGGTTTCTTTCTCCCTTCTTTTCTCCTCCGCCAATTGTATTTCATACACTGGGATAGTTTCATTTAATCCCTGGAGGTAATCTTTTAGCCCAAGCAGAGCTCACCCCTTTCTCTTCATCTTTTTCAATTCACCTACTGAACCCTCTAATCCTGCTTTCGATGGATTCTGCCTCATGCTGACCCTCACTGACAACTTTATAGCAGGCAGAGAATGAGGTTAACAATCGCACAATTCAGCAATACCAGAAGTCTAAATTGAGTTTAAGTAAACAGGTCTTCTCTGTTCAACAAAGCCTAAGTTTGGTTAGAAATGCAAAAAAGGCCTCTATCTTACATTACAATTCAGAATCATAAATAAAAGCTGTATGTAAAACGAGTTCAGAGCTGTGTGAAGGTGCTGATGCTGTATAGACATCTCATTCAATTTGTCATTCCACATTGTAATATTGTTTTGCTTGGCTTGTCTAATCAAAGGCAAGACAGAATTAGGCTGCAGTAGCTTTCTTCTACAAAACTACACCGATACTTAAGAGGTGTGTCCATAATGGCTACACCTTAAAGCAACAGTATGAAAATACTGTAAGAAATAAGACGCACTCTTCCTCAATTCAGTATTATTTAGGGTTCTGCTGCTACATGTAACTTGGTGTTCTACGACCAGCACCTTATGGTACCTGATGTTAGCTAATGTTAGAGAAATAGATATATTTCTAACTGACTACAAGTCAGTTTGACTGCTTTTGTGACAAACTTGTATTATACATCTTTGATCAGCAAATCCTAAATCGCCCCACCTAAAAAAAAAACATTGAATTTACTCTTAAATCGTAATCTTTACTAATGAATGTTTATAAAACTGTGTACATTTGAACTATTGTACAATATTAACCCTTTATGTGATGCTTTTTTTTCTCCTTGTTCTGTACTTGACTCCATTTCTCTCTCCCTTTTATAGTTATTAAGGAAGAGGCACATTGGCAATGATATCGTCACCATAGTGTTCCAGGAGCCTGGGGCCCTTCCTTTTACTCCGAAACACATCCGCTCTCATTTCCAACATGTGTTTGTCATCGTCAAAGTCCACAACCCCTGCTCTGATAACGTCTGCTACAGGTAAATAGAACACGCGTGGACCAGGCCTGTAAGGCTCTCTTATGGCTATTTTTAACTGAGTAAAAATGCAATATCCGAATTTTGTGGCATTGAGTCAAACTCCCTAAACATTAGAGCGCCTCACCATGGGATAAAAAGCAAATTGATATCCTCCAGACAATTAAAGGAAATATGTTTATCTTTTGATGTGCTTTGCATAAATGTCTCATCTCTGCAGCGACTTTTAAGAACACTTAATTTGAAAGAATATTAATTATAGCCTGCTGAGTGCTTTCTGTGGTTTCTGTCATGACTTGATAGTAATGTGCAGGAATCACAAGGCTCTTTTGATCTGCACAGTGATGATACAGTTATTATCTTCAGAGACACCTTGAAATTAAGACTTACGACTCTCTCCTCGAGTGTTTCTGAAGTCAAGACAACTCTTGTTAATAACATAGCATTTGTTGAACAGAGGAAGATTAGTCTGAGATCAGTCTTTCCACCAGAAATAAATTCCCCGAAAGCCATATCATTTCAACACTCTTCAAATGGCTGCTCATTATACGTATAGTTCAATACTTCTTTATTCTCTTAACTGTCAGCACTGCTTGTGATTCATTGTTTGACTTCCTGTTTTCCAGCGTGGCCGTGTCCCGGTCCAAAGACGTGCCTCCGTTCGGGCCCCCTATTCCCAAGTCTGTGACTTTCCCAAAGTCAGCCGTTTTCAGGGACTTCCTTCTCGCCAAGGTCATCAACGGAGAAAACGCAGCGCACAAGTCGGAGAAGTTCCGAGCCATGGCGACCCGCACGCGGCAGGAGTACCTTAAGGACCTGGCTGAGAACTTTGTTAGCACGGCTACTATTGACTCTGCTGTCAAATTCAGCTTCATCACCCTCGGAGCCAAGAAGAAGGAGAAGGTGAAACCCAGGAAGGATGCACAAATGCTCAGCGTGGGGGCCATCACCTGGAGTGTCCGTGCACGGGACTTTGGCCAGTCGTTAGACGTGGACTGCCTGCTGGGCATATCCAATGAGTTTATTGTGCTCATCGAGGAGGAATCAAAAAATGTAGTCTTCAACTGCTCGTGTCGTGATGTCATTGGATGGACCTCGGGGATTATGAGCATTAAGATATTTTATGAGCGAGGGGAGTGTGTCATGCTGTCAGCCCACGACAACTGTGGAGAAGACATCAGGGAGATGGTGCAAAGACTAGAGGTAAGATCCTTAAAGACTCAACTGTCATTATCTCAGTTATTTTAGACGTCTTAATGCCTTCTAGGGAAGATGAGATGATCCTTTGTAGGATACTTAATGCCCACGGCTTAGTATCGGTCTCAAATCATACCACACAATACAAAGAGATTTGAAAACACTGCTTCCACCTCAGAGTGGGAGTAATTTACTCTCTGTAGGAGTCCTCTGAGGCTAATTGAGGGTTTCATCTCATCCAGTTTTATTTTCGACATAATGAGGATATTGCAGTAAAAACAATTAAGTCTTTATTCCAGTGGCGTGTCTGAAATGCTGTTAATGGATCAGCCAAGGTGCAGCCCAGGTTGGCACGAATACAAAAACATGCAAAGAAAGATTAACATCAACATTAGACAAATATTCACGACACCCTTTCCTGTTCAGCCACGGGTCCTCTTTAGTGTACCAAGAATAGGAGAACTGAGAAGAGGAAAGCAACATATAGGCTGTATCTCTGCTTGCTGCGTTTATCTGTGCCTGTTGCTCAGTTTATCTTCTTTTGGAAATGATGACCTGTTGCATTGGTCTTCTCTTTGCGTTACATTGTTGGGACGGACACAATTGTTGTCTTATCACTATTACAAGCATTTTAGTGAGAGCCTTTGCTGTGTTGTTGACTTCTGACTTAAAGGGTTCTATAATGCTAATTTTCAGGTTCATATTTGTGTTTTGTGCCTCTACTGTGACATGGTTACATGCTTTAATGATCAAAAGGAGAAACTCCCTCTGGTATGAACTTTGGGATTTTAGCCTTTGTTGACATTTACATAAAACACAAAGCACAAAACCTTTATAACACACCAAAGGAAAGGGAAAACCCCAAAAAGAATAACAGGGCCTCGTCAAAAGTGTTTTCTTCCTAGTGGTTGTTTTAGTCGAAATTTATTTTCTAAACGACTTTCTTTATTTCTAAGAAGAACCAGTTCATCATTTTGTAAAAAGAGACCTATAACTAACATCAATTACACATAAGTAGCAGTCCCTCGTTTGCCAGGAAAATCTATTGTGACTGTCTCATACTTTAATGGTGCAGCGAGGCCTTTTACTTAAGGAAGGTTGTGCTAGCTCTGTGGTGAAACAGTGCATTCTGCAAATATTGCTCTTGCCATTGTAGCTTTACTACTTACCACAAGCCTTAATGGCAGCAGAACTGTTGCTTGCCTAACCTATATCCATCCTGTCAAGTCTCAGGCGTTGCTACTCCACGCTGGGCTTCTTGTATTTTATTTTATTTCACTGCCTTTACCTCAGCATTCCTGACAGAAATAACTCAAAATGTTTTTCTGACTTCCCCTCCGTGCCTCCGCCTGGTCCTCTTTGTGTTTTCCAGAGGCGGAAGTGTCACTTGAATGTGAAATCAATGGAGTCAAGGGAGGATTACAGACCTCACGTTGATAGCTTTCTTTGGCTGATCACACAGAATAAGTTAAGCGTTAAGGTCACACAAGTACAGATGCTGTCCTGACATGCACTTGATATGATAAACCGTTATGAAACATCATAGCATTTTTTTGTCAAAACTCCCTGAAGCAGACAATAAATTAAATGGGAGGGAGGAGGATTACGGTTGATGTGATTTTGGCCCTTTCTCAATTTGGCAGATGTCTGGGCGCAGGTACAGGAGGGGGTTGCTTAATCAGGACACCAACCCAGTTTTGAAGAGGAGCAAAGAAAACGCTTTTTTTTGTGGTTCTGACAGGCTAAGAATAGAAGGCACTTGGCCTCACTACTTCACATCCCCATTTTGTAGCTCTGCCTTACCCATCTGTACATCTCTGTGGCCCTGAGCTGCCGTCGGTGCAGTCTCTTTTGGAAAGGAAGGTTCCTAACTAAGTGAAAGTATCTAAGTGGCAGCCTTGATAAGAGTCTGCAGAATTCTTTAAATGCTGTCCCACAATTCCATTCCATTACATTACATTACATTGCATTTAGCTGACGCTTTTATCCAAAGCGACTTACAATAAGTGCGTTCGACCAACAAAATACAAACTTGAGGAAAACAGAATCATATAAGTACATCAGGTTTCATAGAGCAAAAACATTTCAAGTGCTACTAAACTGGCTTTAGGTAAGCCAGTCCTTTATTAGTATATAAGTGCTTTGTTAGTAGTTCTATCGCTCCGACAGTAACATTTAAAGTGACACACCATTTGGCCGTCAATAACATCCACCGCCGCATAATTCCATACCCCAGTGTAAGTGTGGTTCGTACTAATTCTCCTTCACATCTCTCCTTGACCACTGCCATCGAGAGCAATGAACGTTAATACAAACAGACATTTGATTATATTCTACCACAGCCCTGGTTACAGTCTGTTTTTTTTGGGGTATGCAAGTCTAGACAAAATAGGCCAAAGCACCTGGTTCCTCAGACTGGACGCTTGCATCAGATGCATTGTTTCCTCTCTTTGTGCTGCTGTGTAGGCTTGCTTTCCCTAATTCTAGTTTCCATGGACTTATCATCAGGCAGCCCTTTGTTTCCTTTAAAAAACATTGAGGTTGAATCCCAAAATCCAACCTGAGCCTGGGTCTTTGACCTTATTTCTGCCTGCCTGCACACTCTCCTCCACTGATCCCTTTGGCAAGCTCTTCATCATTTCAAACAAAGCTTAAACTGTAAGTCCTTCGTTCAGCAAACAACTTGCAAGTAAAAATCTATTTCCCTCAAAAAACACAAGAAGGAACCTTATTATTTCTGAGGATAACTACGTACAGATATAATGACACTTTTTTTATGATCACCTTTCGCAGGGAACTATTTTCTAAAGAGCTTAGAGATTAAAACGAGCAAAATGTGAACATGAGCACAAAGATTTTCCCCAACCGCCTCAAAAAGCACAAGATCCCGAAGAAGTATTTACCATAATTAATATTAAAGAGGACACGGGTGTCATTCAGTGTCTACTCAACTCATCATAAGAAAGGACAGAGTAGGATATATTAGCATTTGTGATTAGCCAAAGGACATGGCTTCCTCATTCGCTATGCTAATATCCTCTCACATTCACTGTCCACTTACCCATGGGATTTGTGAGGTATATTTAAAAGGAAAAGCTCAGGGTGAGTATTAATAAGTGGGTGAGATTTGTGGTGCACACACAGAGAGTGGAGCAGCAGCATTCGGCACATTTGGGTATAAGCTGCCTGCATACTTTGTCCCAAAGGTGTCTGTAATATCCCGGAGGTTGTCTCGAATCGTGTTTCATTGGGAGGATTTACAGGCTGCCGGACCTGTGATGTAATGCAAACCATAGTGAACAGATTGCCCACTGTAACACACAGAGGAGGCCAGTGTGAGAGCACAGCTAAAAGCTTTGTGATAACGTCCTTTTCTCCAGGGTGCCGCTGAGCTGGGTGGCTGCGTGTTCAGCTTTTATGAGACAAGTCATCAGGGCTCGGGTGCCACATTTATTTTGTTTCCTTGACAAAGTACAGGCAGCCACATTGAGTGTGCTCCTTTATTGACTGTATGCATCAGCAGGGCTGCAGATAAAAGCAACTCACCGTATCTGCTGGAGATTTGAGTGATAAAAGATGGAAAGTAAGAGTAGTAGTAGGGAAAGACAACATTGAGAATAAATGCTTTGAAAATAACAGCTATTATGGTATTATAAATCATTTCCTATAATTTCTCTGCAGTTATTTTATAGTTCCAGCTTCTCAAATGTCATCATTTCATGCTCTTTTTTGCAATATATTCAAGGATATGGGAAATCTTTAGCACATTTAGCTGTGGTGAACTCATTTCAATTTCACTGTATTCTAAAATACAAGAGTTTAATAAAAACAATTATTATTCTATTAAAAGTACAATTACATCTTTATATTGCTTGGTTTGTTCAACGAGCAATCCAAAATCCAATTAACTTTTATAATATAACAGAAAGAATGAACAACACCTCCATCAATGTTTACAATTTGTCCTCAATCAATAACTTAAATAATGAATTGACCGATCAACAAATCAATGAATCATTTCTTATTAGCACCATTTTGAGGCTTTTTGTTCCTAAACCAACATAAAACTCTATTTACCCACTCTATGAACGAAAAGGAGCAAGATGAGGGAAAATGTGATTATGGTTATGTCTTGCCCCATTAAGCAAAATGGTTCCGTATCCCACCAGAAGCCTCTGTCCTAGATTTAGAAATTGATTCACAAATATTCAGCCCAGAGATACGAGTGTCCCTAGTTACACCAATCTGTGCTTCAGGTCTTTGAAGCTTCAGAGGGATGACGGGGGATTTTCATGTCTGTAGAACTTGCTACTACAGAGGGTGTCATCAATGTCAAAGCTACTTCTGACTGTCAGAACTCTCACTGACGATCACCGCCAGCAACACTGCTTGACAACAGATTTGAGGCTGATGCTTTGGGTTTCATTGAGACAGTATTGTACCGTTACATCACCAGCAGTCTAGCACTCTGCCAGACTTCCTGTCACCATCTTTCATGGAAATATCTTTACAGGTCTCAAATTCCTCCTAGAGATAACAAGTGTCCTCTAGGATTCAGACATTATAGATTTGGGCCATACGGAGGAGAACCTGGACACATTAACTTCTATGATGAAGGCATTTAGGAAGCCATTATTTAGGCCTAATGAATTTCCTGACAAAGGGCAGTTTGATTCATGGTCCCTAATTCCCCAGCCAATGCCTTCTTCCTACACAGACCATTTACTTCCAGACTTTCCCCTTTTGAAAGCTTTATGTCCTTTTTCTTTAGCCCTTGACATTTTCTGCAGATTAATTGTTTAGTGCATGGGTCATAACACAAAAGTGCTCCTTTAGTTTCATCTCTCTTTTAAAACGGGATCTTTTGAGCATGATTTTATTGCAAAAACCGAGACAGTGACCTATAACTTTGACCAACAGGATAAGTTCCTTTCCTCCTAATAAAGTTTTAGGGTTGTGTCTCACTAGGAGATGCATTAAGGTTGTCACGGATCTCCTCTCACACAGCGGGGTAGGATTTCTCTCAGTGTGAGAATCTGGTGGAGTGTTGACAGGCCATAGTCTGAGTTAATGTGTCCCTGAAGCCAGCTGCCACTCTGAGGCAAATGGAGTCACCCACAATTGAACCACGACTAATCTGATGGTTGATTAAAACTCATTGGATCCAGTGTGAGGTTTGTTTCCAGCAGTTTTACCACAAAAAATGTCCATGCCCACTAGTATGTACAAACACCCAGGATAAATAAGCTCAGTTGTTTCATTATGGCGAACATAGATAGGCTACAGGGGCATGTTTTTATCTTGGTCTGGTGGTTGTTTGTTTAACTGTAATGTTGCTGAATCAAGAGTGTTATCTGAACTTCAGCTGAACCGGAATTGCTTTTAGGCAGTGGCTTAGGCAACTACATTTGCATGTAAGTACATCATTGTAAAAGAGCACACTTTAAGTTTCATTTACAAACGCTATTGGACAAACAGCTACTGTCATCCACGAGTGAAGTTTTCAGTCTCTGGATGCAGTTACTATGACTGCAAAAAAATGGGAGAATACATATTGTTGTATGCATCAGAGGTCAGTGGGTTATGTGTTGGTGAAGTTATCTCTGGTTAACAGACTTAGTTCTATAGACAAGTCCATGTGTGTCCACAGAAAAAGGTGTGCCTCTATGTTTGCAGTTCCCGTGTGTTTAAGCTGCCTCTAAGCAGCTCTGTGCACTAAACCAGTTAGCTCCGCCATGTATCCTCCTAATAACTTCCATTTTGAGAGCTTCCTAGAATTAGCCAAACAAACATGCACGTGTTTTTCTGCTTAAGGGCAGGATTTCACTGTGCTCTAATAGTATTTCACTAGTTTAAGGAAACCCACACATATATGAAAATATCAAAATTGTACACTGTTGAAGTAGGGCTGCTCGATTATGGCAAAAATCATAATCTCGATTATTTGGGTCAATAATTGATATCACGATTATTAAAAACGATTATCCATTTACTTTGAAAACATACATTTATTGGAGAAAAAAAATGTGAACAGTATGTTTTTAACAGTTGATTACCCTGAACTTGAAGTATTACTAAACTGAAAAACCAATAAAAAAAAAACATTTATAAAAAGAAATAATCGTTATATTTCGATTACGTTGTTTTCGTAATCGTTGCAAGCCATAATCGTAATTGCGATTTAAAATACTATGAATTGAGCAGCCCTATGTTGAAGGCTGCTGTTGAAATAAACTGTGTCGTAGAAAGCTCTTATTAAGGGATTTTAAGATCACTCAACATTTCAAGCTTGTTGTTTGTCATTCTCAGAATGATTGCATCCATTCATGTGTTGGACCTTTGTATCTACTTAAGTGTTTCTAAAGTCCTGCTGTCTTCGTGTATCTGGATAACTACAGTTAAGACAAAATGGATATACTTTTATTTTAAATAACCCTGTTTCCCTTCTGGTTCCAGATCACCACTAGAGGTTGTGAGACGTCGGAGATGACTTTGCGTCGGAATGGCCTCGGACAGCTCGGTTTCCACGTCAACTTTGAAGGCATCGTGGCCGACGTGGAGCCCTTTGGCTTCGCCTGGAAGGCGGGGCTGAGGCAGGGCAGTCGACTGGTGGAGATCTGCAAGGTGGCGGTCGCTACTCTCACCCACGAGCAAATGATCGACCTGCTGCGCACATCCGTCAGCGTCAAAGTGATTATAATCCAGCCTCACGAAGACGGCGCCCCAAGAAGGTAACTCCACCGCCACTTTCAATCAACACTACAGACAATGCTTACAAAACATATTCAGACTTCTTATTGTCTTTCATGTTTGGCTGCTGCTATGCTGTTAGTAAAACAGAGAAACAGGTGCTCCTCGAAAATGGATGAAGTCATAACAGAAGAGTCGTTTCTTCTTCTCTTTCTTGCTATGCAGCTGGGGTAAATTACCTTGACATTTGCCCTCGTGTTTGAGATTATTAGCATAAAGAAATGCTTACGTTCTGTTTTTGTTGCATGAGGCTTGATGTTGTTCGCCGCTGATTTCTCTGGAGAGGGGGCAGTCTTTGTATTGATGCGGCTTTGTTGCGAGAGAAAGCTCCAGCAGGGCTGTAGAGTCACGCAGACATGGACAGTCAGCGATTCTCACTAATGATAATGAGAGGAGCTTTTTGATTAATGGCTCAGCCTTCTCTCCCATTGTGTGACAGCTCACATTTGCAGATTGCGTTTTTTAAAACCTTGCCCAATGTTCTATTCAGTAATTAGGATGGGAGTGCCTGACATTTTTAGGGACACACACCCACGTGGAGGCTCCATTGCTCCGGTCATAAAAAAGAAAGAGCGAGGCATATTTCAAACAATCTTTTGTGATGGCAAGAGATGAAGTTCTGTATGAAATGTTTGTTCTGAAAGCACATCTGCTTAGACAGTCCTGTGAAATCAAATCCATCACTCTTTCACATGCACATCTTTGACATCTTTGTTTTGGTTGTTCTGACAGAAACGTCTGCCAGCGAGTGCTTTTCCCACTTATTGTAGATCAGAGTGATTTGACAGCGAGAGAGAGAGAATAACTTCACTTCATCCCTTTATCCGTTTGTGAGGTTGGAGGCAATACTAAGGTTGTCAGTGAATTGCAAAAATGTCAATAAAACTTAAACGAATTATTACATTGTACATGCATTTCTAAACAGAAGTGTTGAATTTCGATATCCTTCTGCTGGATAAGGTTAACCCAGTTGTGACGATAAACAACTAATTAAAAAAAGGTATCATAACACACACATGATAATGTCTTGTTTGTAAATGTTAGGCCTTGTGGATACTTTATTTCTCAGTTCAACTGGTTGCCCTTTTTACTGTTGATTGGTGCAAGGGTTTTTTGTATGCTTTTGTATTATGGTAAGTATGTTCACAGAATCTCTTCACCTCTCTACACACATTTTGTTATGTTATTATTTCAACAAAAAATTAGACAAAAACACAAAGAAAATATTAATTTGTTATTGCTTTAATATTGCCATTGTGAATTCTTCTGTGATTAAACATTGTTAAGGGAAAATGTGACATCCTCACAGCTGGATGAAGAATGTAAGACATGACATCTATATATTGAGAATACATTTTTCTTAGTTTAAAAAAAAAAATCATCTCAATGACTTTTCAAAATACCCTGTATGAATACGATCTTACACAACTGTGCATTTATATATGTGTCATAATGAATTCTGCATACTTGGCACGTGTTAAATACGTTTCAAGTTTTTGTCTGGCAACAGAGGAGTCACATATTTAGCCAGTTGATAGGCAAACATGCACCGTCTGTGAATCCACCGCAGCAGCCTCTCTGGCAGAACCGACGTCTAATCCTTTTACCAAGAGCTGTGATGACACATGATGATACAATCGCAATCGCAGTTCAGCGTAGCAGAAAGTAGACGAAACAAACACTGTCCAAAACGATATGTCTAAAAGCATGTGTCTGAGATGTGGTCACATGATGTAGGATTCTGTAGAAGAAGTTGTTGACACAGATTTTGTGCCAGTGAAAGACATCTGGCTTAGTTTCACTGACTATACCAAAGCCTTAGACGGCACTTTGAACGGCAAATTAGAACGTATAGTAGTTACAAAAATGTACATATAGAACTGTGGAAAAATCTAGAACTATTCACACATATAGAAGGCTATAAAGAAGTAGATATGCGTTCTGCCGTACGTCTATAATGTGTGCTATAATGCATAATTCAGTGAGCTTGACCCATATATGGCGTTGCAAAAAGATGCATCTGGCAGATTATTAGGTATTATAGCAGAAGTCCATACTGGTCAGAGCTGTTGATTTTTACATGGAGATTTCCCTGTCTAAAAGAAACACATTTTGTCATCTTCGTCCGATGAGAACCAAAAAGACTCCGTCTGGGGTACTGTGAATTTTCTCCCAAGGCTCCAACAACTCAAGAGGTGAGAGGTCAGGTGAAGAATCTCGAGGGCCCTCAACTCATTTTCGCTGCTATGTCTTTGAGTTGCCAAAGTGTTGCAGTCAACAATAAGTCCTCCAGTTTCTCCACCGTTATCTCAAAGGAAAGGAATTCAGTAGGGGCCCGGTCAGTCCCCTGTGGCCACAGAGATGGGGGTTAGTCTAACAACAATGGACAAGAATCTCATGACCTCCAAACAATGTACCCTGGCTCCACATCGCTACATGACAAGGAGAAATGTTTTCATAAGAAAATGTTGGGGCTGGGAGATGTGGATCGCCTCCTTTCTGTTTTTAAATTGTTAGAATTTCGTTCAGTCTTTGTGATTCCTCCAAATTCAGTGAGGATTGATGGGTCTTATAGCTGCTAACATTATGTTGAATGACCAGTGTGTAACATTGGTTTTGTGGCAAACCTCCTAAAGCTTGTTTATGCCCTAAATGGGTTCACTTTGCTCAGCCTGAAGTAGAGTAGAGAGCAGAGATATGGCTCTAATATTAGCCAAACCTAGTACTGTATTTATTTACACTGAAGGAAGGATGTGGTTTTAGCCCAGCACTATACCAGAGGCTTTTCCATCATCACTCTGAAAAGCTTTAAACAAGTTCAACATGTTAGCCTTGGATCAAGCTAATGAGAAAAAGCTGAAATGGATTAGCTCTTTGAAACAGGAATGTGATGTACAGAGCATGGCAGGGATTGTATGTTTTGGTATATGGTCACCATAGAACGAAGAGTAAACAAGAGGATCAGTACACTTTGGACTCAAGTAGATGATTACAACAAGACATACAAAGAGTAACAGAAACAAAAAAGCAACTGTATTTTCTGAGTAAGTGCCTTTTATGTTTTTCGTCAGACCGTACTGAACCTTTTCCGTTTTAATCACAAAGATGTATGTTTAAAGTGATGGCTAACCCGAATTTAAGTGGGTTCAACCTGCACCAGCCCCCTGCTGATAATGAGAATTGCCTGTGACATTCAGATGGCCACTTGTGACCTTTCTTTTTGAAGTGTCATCAGACTTGTCATCATGGATTTTCATCTGGACTGAAGTTAAGCCGGATTTCTCACTTCCCATGCCAACACCCTGTGAAAGATAGCACGGCTAAACCAAAACTCAGAAAACCTGCATCACAAATTGCTCGCCTTAATCCTCTCACATTCTTCACAGGAGGCGCTTTTTCCTTTTAGATCATTTTGCTAAGAAGTTGTTGAAAGGGGCTTTTTTTTTCTCCCTTTTTTTGCCAACCCATGCACTTTTCCCCCACACCTGATCTTATAAAGCTCCTGAAAACATTTCGCAAAGGCCTGGTGGAGGTCACAACCTGTGGGTCTTTGCTGTGACATAGACTCTGGGAATGGATTAGCATGTCCTTCAGTCGCTGGCCATGTCATTAGAGTGACGGCTCTCTGACAGAGGTCTAAGGTCCCGTTATCACACTGATCTATTGTAGCTCTTTAAGACCCAGCAGCTGAAGGGGCTGATTGTTCACCTCCAACATGCATCGCACTCTTTTTTATATTTCAAACAAGCAATGGTGTTATTTTAGTATTGTCATGTCAAGTTCTGCCAATTGTGCTGTCAAATTACTTCCTCCGATAAGTCTATTTTTAGTCGACTGGATTTTCGTTTTGAGTTGTAAATGTTCCCAATCTCTACAAGCTCATGTTAGGCCATTGTGCTATAAGTTATAGAGCAGTTAGCTGGAAGAATGACGCAGAGTAACTGATTAGCTTTCAACTAATAAATGAGTCAGCCAACTACCACTTCTTTACTATGGATCTTTCTTTTAAACGGATTGTCTTTTATCTGTGGACAAAGGGATTTGAGGGCATCATCTTGGACTTTGGGGAACAGCAGTGGAGATTTTTTTTATAGACAACTGATTTATAGAACAAAAAAATTATCGACAAGCTAATGGAAAATGAGAATAATCTTTAGTTGCAGCCATACATCAGTTCCTGGTGGAATCTAGAGGAAGCAGACAGCATTATTTCATACCAGTTCTTGGCTTCCTCCTCTCCTTACAACTGCCTGGACATGTCTCCTCCGGCTCAGGATTAAGTGTTGACCAAACACCCGTTTCCTGCTGTTTCTTCATGATTTATACACATCAAGTCAGAGTCCCCCTATACATTACAAACAAGAAACACATTCCACATGCATCAGGCGATTACTATGGCTATTTCTTCTTCCAGCTTCGCTTGTAGCAGTGCTGAGGGAGAGTATTAGCATCATAAGATAAATCCACCTTGTCAGTTCTTGCTCTTTATGGCGCAAAAAAGCAGGGCAAGTGACGACGGCCGAGACCTTTCCTGTTGACAAGCTGTTAGCTAGGTTTAGTCTATTCAGAGAGTAATGTTGTGTGGCAACCTGGCGTGATCACACACACACAGTTAATCAAGGTAATGAGTGGGTCACAGCCCTGTTACAAGCCAATTGACCGACAGTCAAGATCTAACACTCTTGTTGGCAACCTTTTTCTTCTGACGTTAACAAGAAATGACTTAATCAAAACCTCAGGCTTCACAAAAAAAACAACAATCTCTGATATCCTCATCCACACTCAACTCGATCAATTCCATCGTCTTTTACAAACGTCTTCTGATGCTGTAATGACCCAAATTACTCTCACTTGGCCCATATGTCGAACCAGTGATGATGCTACCTAAAGACATTTAAATAAATAATGTAAACTGTGTAGGAAGTAGAGTACGCCATTGACAGTCTTTCATCGTGGATGAGGTTCCCTCGTTGGTGACATTGACCAGATGTGAGCAACATGGTGGACAAGGAGGAAGCGTGCGATGATCTTCTAGTTAGATATTTTAACACCCACATGGCCAGTGGGAGGCCAGTTTGATGAAAAGGTCTCTCTGAGAGGGATTACTCGCAGCCTTGCAATCAGCCTCCTCAAGCTCCGCTGTGTGTACATGTATGACCACAGCAGTGTATACACAGCTTTCCATCCCCCATTGGATTCTGGAAAATGGACTTTGGAGAGGGGAAGTTGGCGTAATCATAAGGGTCATGCTTGAAATGCTATTGGAGAGCTAGCATAGCACCCAGGCTGTTTAACCCCAACCCACCGACCCCACCCTTTTAAACACACCAAGCTTCTGCCCGGCCCCAAAGATTAATGTTGCATGAAATGGCCTCACAGGCCTTGTCCATCCTGGAGATCCTCAGTGATGTTAGCAGTAATGGGATGGAGATGGAAGGAAGAAAAGACCTCCTGTGCAGAGCTACTCAGGGGAGACCTATATCTGATTAAGTGGCAAGCACAGATGTTCGACTATTAAAAAAGGCAAAGTGTTTTCCACTGGTTTCTATGCGTCTCCGATATGCCCATGAAACTGTCCATCCATGTGCAGGCATGTGTGTGCCAACAACACACACACACACACACACACACACACACACACACACACACACACACACACACACACACACACACACACACACACACACACACATGCCTGCAGATGGATGGACACACTATATTTAGATGTCCGCTCCTGGCTAACTGTTCCTGACAGCATTAGTGTGTTTTGGTGTAGTCATGGATGAATAATTCCCCTCCCCCCGAATTTTCAGGGTCACTTGTGTTGTACTGTAACCGCTGAAATCTGCCCGGTAATGCAATAGTAGAAATGTTATTAATTAATGGAAGAAAATAGTAATGTAGTGTTAAGTAGGATTTTATTACATTACTAATTTAAAAAATGTGTTTATCATTATGACTCAATGACTCAAAATGAAGGTTAGTTAAACTGTTATTCTTATGATTCATTAGATCTTTCATTATGAATTGTAATTGTAGATGGATGCAAACTGTTAATTAGTAATTGTGGGATGTGACTCACTTTAACATTGTTCTAGTTGTATAATTCATCTACTTTGAACACTTAATTTAAAGTTTTAATTTTGACATCAATGAAAATAAGTTGAAAGGTTATTCAAACAATCCCAAATAAATAAAACACTAAGTGGATCACAGCCACAGAACTAAATAAAAAGTCTGCCAGACAGGCTTGCATAAATAGTCATTTAAAAAGGTAGTAACTATGAACAGTGTTAACAGCACACCTACTCATGTAGCCAGGCAGGTCAGAGTCCTTATGGATACTCGATGACTATCTATTTGATTATCTCAAATCTACTGTGTTTTAGGTTTGTGCAGAAGCAGTTTTGCCAATTAAATAATAGACAACATGTCCTTGAGCCAATGCACAAAGTGCTAGGTCAGGAGAATACATTTGTTAAGAGCAGAGCAATCTGTCGTACAAAATGCTGGGCTGAATGTATCTGGAATAGAAAGGTGTATAGAATCACCATGTACTGAACAGAACGTTAATGAACGTAGATGTTTCTTAGCAGCACCGATTGTGACTGTTCACTTAGCTCCTTACAGCTAAATGCCTAGTAAAAATTAATTGATACGGCATGTTAACTTAGATTTGAGTCCCTAATAAATATGGAGTGCAACCTGAAATGCATCTTAACTGAAGCCTTTACCTCCTGGTCTCATTCCTGACCTTTAACTTTATTTTTTGTCTCCTTGCACATCGTCCTTCCCACTCAGGGGCTGCTCCGAGCTCTACCGCATACCCATGGTAGAGTACAAGGTCGACAGCGAGGGCACACCCTGCGAGTACAAGACGCCCTTCAGGAGAAACACCACCTGGCACCGGGTGCCCGCGACCGGCGGAGCACCTCTCTCCCGGGGCTCGCCCACACAGGGCCCTGATCGCCTGCAGTGCCAGGAGATCCTCCGGCAGCACCAGGCTAACATCCCAAGAAGCACCTCCTTTGATAGGAAGCTGCCAGATGGGTCCAGGTAACTCTAGACTTTAAAAATAAAGATAATCAAATACATTTTGCTCACTGCTTTTTTGTTGATCCCTTAAAAATAAAGAAACACTACTTGAGACAATTATCTGCCTGACAAAGAGGACTATTTTTGTGCAAAAACATGATCTTTTTTGGGATAAAAATAATCGAAAAAAACAAAATGCTTTTTCTTTCAACACACTCTTGGAAGGCAAGCTTTCAACCTTTTTTTTTAGAAAGCTAGGCAGAGCAAAGCTTGCGACCAAACATCACAACGCTCAAAAAGATCCAATCCTTTGAGATGAAATCTTTGAACTCTGAGCCTCTCTCATTTAGAGAAGAGCTGCAGTATCACTTTGAGGGGCTGTTATTGTGTTCAGTTATTTGCATGCATATAAATGGAGCATTTTAGTCCAATGAATTCAGGGCTTCTCTTTCATCTCCCTTTAGATGATAAGGCCACAATTGGACTTTGTTCCTGTCCTAGACGGTGTCTCTTTTGGACATCTCCATTGAGCCATGTAAAGCAGTGATTTGTTCATTCTACTGAAACCCCTACAGTCATGATAACCTTTCCAGTGTGTCACATCGACCCCCTCTGGTGTTGTCTGTTCTGACTATACTGGGATAATGGTCGCCTTCTCTGCTTAATCAGAGTCCCTGGCAGCGGGAGCACTTTATTCTCCCTGGCTCTCTCTCTCCCTCCCTCCCTCCCCACCCCTCCTTCTCCCCGCTCCCTCCCTCTTCCTGCACCCTGCTGAGGAGGAGGAGATGGGGACACTGACACAGCTCAGCTCATCTCATCCAATTACTGCAGAAACAAAGAGAGTGCTCTTCCGCGGACCACGATATGTAGCTCCCCAGAGGGAGTGGGAGAAGAGGAAAGGGGAAGAAGGGAGTCGTACACTGAAGAGGGATGGTGGGAGAGAGACAGGAGGGGAATATTATACAGACACTTAAAATACAAATAACATCATAACATTTACAAAAATGTAGATCAGCAGCACCGATTTCCGAGGGTGTACTTCTGCAAATGCCAGGGCGTACGTGGAAAGGTTGTTGAGAAGCCCTAGAAAAATAGATTATTGTTTTTTATTTACATATTGAGCAATTTTAAGATGCTAAGCAGAGAAGTCTAGTCTGCTCGCTATCAATAATGTATCAAATATTTAAATAGTTAGCCATAAGTGTCCATTGGAAACCCAAACATACTGACCTTCATATAGACAGTTTGATTGTTTTCAAACATTATCGTAATATTCTGAACATGACGGGTGGTGTCAATAAAAGTGTACTTGATTTAATTTCAAATCAATGTGGTTGGGGAGGTGTTTAACAAAAGATATAATGAAGCCACTGCTCCATTTAGTTTGGTCCACACCTGGCACTGTAAAATATGACTCCTAATATGCAGCCAACTGGGACAGAACACTAATCTCTATAGCCTTGCATGTTATTGCAGCACAGAGAGAAAATTAAAGTTAAATATTCCCTCATTTAGACCTTTATATTATGTCAAGAGAAGGAGAACAAAAGCAGCTGTTGCTGTTTCATATTAAATTGCCTGGACTCGACTCGACTCGGACTCGACCGACACTTCAGCCTTGGAGGAAAAGAGCGGTCCGGCCAAAGCGTTCGATGATGTGTTCCCTGACTGAGCTACTGACAGTTTAGTGAGTTTCCTATGGAGGTCTAGACAAAGGAAACCTGATGACAAAGCAGTCAGGGCAATCATTTCACAGCTTCTCAATAGCAATTTGAAATGTGATGTGAATGTGAATTATTAGGTTTAACTGGATTCTTTTCATGAAATGTACCTTCATATTTCTGATCTTTGAATGATCCCTTATACTTATTGAAAATATACACATTTTGGAAGCCTCACTCCGACCCAATCTAAAACTCCTTACATAAATAAATAGATAAAAGAAAGAGTTTGCAACCTGACAGGAGACTTAATGTGAAAGCAACCCTGCATATGTTATTGTAGTCTTGTATCTGTCAGGTCGTTTTACCTTCTCTTGTGTGTTGGTTAAAAAGCCTCTAGGCAGCGGACATAACTTGAATCCAGTGTTTATTTAACACTTGAGTCAGCAAACATACGTCTTGTCTCAAGGCATTAAGTCAGTTCCGTGCCTACTGCAAGACACTTTCGATAAGTTGAGCTGAGATCATGCTCAAACTCCAAGTAAGTAAATGACGTAACGTCTTTAAGAGGTTTTGTAAAAAGCAGTTTGAGAGCAGAGTCAAGATTGTTTCTTAAAGCTCAGGAATTTAACACATCCTCTTACGTGCACAAGCCACTTGTGTCTTTTACTCTACATACACACAGGACTGCACCATCTGGATTACCCACTGCAGTGTATTACCATAACTAATGTTCTGTTTCTGTTTGTCTTTGGAGAACAAGACACCTTCTCCCTCACTGGCTGCTCTCACATTTTCTTAGAGATTATCCACAGTGCTCACACGCGAATGACTATTTGCTGGAGTGACAGCCAATAATAAAGTCATTATATCTGCACAGTGAGGGATAGGACGCTTTTACAGTTGTGAACTGTCGGTTGCTAGAGAGTCTACTTTAGTTATTGAGTATACAATTGTTTCAAATAATAATATGTACAGATCGAGCAGCTCTAAGATTATTGGGATAGCAATTACTTACAAATAATTGTTTTTTAATTTGCAGATGTCATCATCTCAAAACAATTCACTGCTTTACTTTGTTTTGTGTCATTGTAAATTGAATATCCAATCGTTTTGGTTGAACAAAAGAAGCAGTTTGAAGATTTCACTCTGAGCTATGGGAATCTATGATGAGTTTCATGTTTATATTTTGTCCCTCTACTGTGACATCCATATTTCAGCCTTTGCAGACCATTTGCATGCACAACCTGTCTAACACACTGCAGAAAGAAAATAACCCAAACCAGCTTTAAAGGGCCCCTTTAATCTACGACGGTGTTTCTTACACACAGTGTTTCTTTGCCACTATTTCTGCAGGACGATGCAGGACATGGAGAACCCCCAGGTCACGTCATGTAACAAGGGAGACCAGCACTACCGCAGCTCCCCCAGTAACCAGTCCTCCTCCAGTGACCCCGGACCCTGTGGCAGCGGCACCTGGTCCCAGCAGCCCGGATACGATGGGTACGGGACCACAGCAGTCTTTCGAAACAGCCTTGTAAAAAGTCACTCCAGGAATATGCGGCTCTGCAGTAATGAATGCAGCGACAATCAGTCCCAGCACTATTACCGAGATTTTGCAATTTTGCAAAATGACAGCAATTTTTTCCACATGAAATTATCAAATCATCAGTGCATTTTTGGCTATTTGTCACTCTGTTTTTTGTTACAGGAAGAGTTCCAGCAAAATGATGCCTCACAGGGTCTAATACCACATCCAGAGTTTAAAATTAGGGCAGATGATAGGGGATGACTTTTATGTATGAGTTTCTTTTCATTTAACATGCATTCTGATCATTTCCATTTGAACTGAAAGCCTTACTTTCATGGTTACATTCAGAAGAACACAAAGGCTAGCTCAAACACAAATGGCCACTTTGAAAATCAAGCCACTCCGTTTTATTCACATAAAAGAAATCCAAGCCCAGTACAGTATTTCTGGTGGGAACTTCACATCCTTCTTCTTCTGTTCTGAATATTCAGTAAGGACTAGCACTTACATATGATAGGAAGTGCTTATAAAGAATTCTTTGTTGTTCTTACCTACTGCAAGTAAAGTGCCACTTTAGCAAACTACAACGTAATTTTGGAGAAAGACAGCTTTTGATGAAGAAAAATAAATCCTAAAAGAGAAGTATCTGTCAAAATGAAAGTATCCAGGAAGATGTTTTTTCTGTCAATGTTTTTCAGTTTGTGTTTTATCTCCTCAACAGCACATATAAATCGCTTTTATTCCTGCTTTCAATCATATAATGGTATGCAGGGCTTCAGACTGCACAGGCGTAACATGTGTCAAACTGAGTAGAATCCTTCGGAGACCGCTGTCTCTGTCTGTAAGTGGTTACAGACCATGACAAGAGGCTTAGCTTCACACTGCTGCCTTTCTGTCAGAGGCCTCAAAAGTGCACTGAACTCTCAGTGATCACTGCGGCCTGTCAGAGCCGAGGCAGACTCAGAGACAAGCCGATTGATCTCCGGTTAGAGCTAAAGATCAGTAGACACTGCGACCTCTGTTCATCTGTCTTAACCTTTATTACATGTAGCTCTTTAGGATTTAATTAAAACATTTGCTGCTCTTTTCCCTTTGTCAAGAGCAAAATAGCGCCTGGCTTGGAAAATCGAATGAAAGGAGGTCTTCTGTCAGCATTGTCTGGCAGCTTCTTTATTCTATTATAAGCTCAAGTGATTTGACCTTGAATGATCTTCAGCTAATTGCTGTACATACAGCAGTAAATGCATTGAAACCTTTCTCTGACTAGAATACAAGGTTCACTCACAATGTGTCCAATCCACTTTCTGCCTTCAGATGTCCCTCCCCAATCCTCCATGAGCAGGCAGGTGACCTCCAGGGGGGAGACGGAGAGATCCACAGGGAGCGGGAGCCCACCCTGGAGAGGACCAGATCTGCAGGTGAGTCCTATGTTCTTACAAAGTTTAAGTTTTTTGCTGCATATTCACACTTTTGCACTTCTACATGCTTAGCTTTTTTATTTTCTGTCCACAGAGGCCAAATGGCACATCCCCTCCACCAAGGTCCTGAACCCTCTGAAGCAGAGAGAAGGCAGCAAAGACTCTCCCAACAAGCTTTCCAGGGTACAGGTCTGACCTACTCTGTCTATGCGACATTTAATGGAAGTGTTTGGAAATTTGTTGTCAACTTGCTGTGAAAGGGCACACCATTTAAAAGCTTTTAAAGCAGCCTCTACAGTACCTGTGCTGCAGTAAATGCCCAACTCTGCTCGATCTGCTTTTCCCCACATCAGTGTTTGAGCCAGGGTGAGGTCAAATTGCCCTTTGTTGTGCTTTGTAGCAACCAGGAGCTCAATTGGGATATTCAACCTCATGTCGTCCCCTCGAGTCGCTCTTTGCACTTATCACTTTCCCTTCATCAGCATGCTAACAGAGGTCTCAGCTCATCATCGTTTGGGGTTGTCTCACACTTTTCTAGGACACATTTTCCTCGAAGGTTGAATATATTAAGTGCTTGTGCCTCTCATTTTCTCCTTTCTCTATATTCCCCTCTCATTTATCTCTTTTTTTGGCCCATTCACCATCTCTCCTTCCGTCTTTCCTTTCTCCTTCTGATGCCAGAGGCTGCTGGATTCAGCTAACAGCATCTTTTAGTGCTTTCAGTGCCATTCCCAGTGCCATAATGCTCACAGCCTTTCCCCCCCCCTTTCCCCCCTTTTTTTCATGTAAGAGTAGCTGTTTTTGATGTGATGCAATTTAATATGCTTTCATGATTTAGCAGTGTTTAGCATAGCATGATGAAGCAAACATGACGGGTCATTATCATGAAGTCTTAGTTAATATTCTTCAATCAGACATATCTGTTAACTCCATTTCACTAGAGGTTGGTTTTTGAGTAAATACATTAACATGTTGTGGTTGCTGTTCTACAATTTAGATGCCTCAAACTAAATTAGACATGGCCTTGCATATTTTACATCAATTTGTTTATCCTAATCATGAACAACGACAGCTTTCTGATCAAAACCTAACAAGATATAATACATTCCTTTTATAAACTAATTTAGGAGCTAGATCATGTGTATTTCTCTCAGAGGAAGTCAAAAACATAATATGTACATTAAGCATATCCTCTTTTTATATTCCTTGTCAACTAGCCATGGGCTTGAGGAAGCCTCAGTCAGAGACACATGAATATGTGATGTAGCCTGATGGGTTAACCCATCCCCCCGTTTTGCACCAAGCATGTTAAAGCAACCGTAAGAATGATTTGACCTCTTCTGATTTACTGTATTTTTATCTTCTTTAACCCTCCTGCTCTGTCTTTTTCTACCAGACTGGCGATAAAAACTCAAGCCACTCAAGTAGCAACACCCTCTCGAGCAACGCCTCAAGCAACAGCGACGATAAGCACTTTGGCTCCGGAGACTTGATGGACCCGGAGATGCTGGGCCTCACTTACATCAAAGGGGCGTCCACGGACAGCGGCATCGACACGAATCCATGCGTCGCCCCCGGTGCCCGGGTGCTGCTGCAGGGCAGGGTGGGGGAGCAGGGACACCCCTGGGCGTCGGAGCACCATGAGGACGGGGCGTCAGAAGAGGATCATGGGAAACTGTACATGCCGCACGGCTACGCGTCGGCCATTATGTCTAGTCATGTGACAGAAGGAAGCATCGGAGACCTAAGTGAGATCTCATCCCATTCAAGGTAAAGTGAAGAGACGGGAAGTGTGTTTTATTTTAATTTTTTTCTCCTAAAAGATTTTAAATTTGCAGTTTTTATTTGTTTTAGGTATCTACTGTTTTGCTGCTGGAAAAAGTGTTTGTGGTCAGTCAAGAATTAGATGGGAGACCTATTGAATCTAAACTGCTCTGAATGTCTATGCTAAGACATTTGAATGTTATGTTTTCCTTTTATTTGTCACCACACTGTATACTCGTACACTCGCCAATTTTGATTGTGATGTTCTACCTTCAATTGACAATTACTTGAATCTGTTGTGGCTTATTGATTTGTCCACTGATACAAATCACTGCCTTTTCATGGCATGTATCTCGGAGCAATATCCGCTGTGTCCAAACACGTGGTTACAGTCACACACACACACACACACACACACACACACACACACACACACACACACACACACACACACACACACACACACACACACACACACACCGCCACCAGCAATTTCTTCAGCCACATTATCTGTTCTTTTAAACACACACACAGAAGCAAACACATGCACAAAAGGCCGGTTGCTGGCTGTTAGCTGACCTTTTCACCCATCCGTGCTCCGCACTCCTGACCCGCTGCTTGACTCATCCAGCTGTGCTGAAGCCAGTGAGGGGGGGCTGCTGTCAGGCCAGGGCAACACGGGGGGAGGTTTCATCACACAGTAATCCAAGTCCCTGTCACCAGACTGGGACCCATCTGGGAAAGTGGAGGGTGTGAGAGAAGGTTGGCCCTGCAGCCATTCAGTCTCTATGAAATGGAATGGGTATCTATATGTTTATGGCCTACAGGATTATGTTAGCACAATCTGTTGAGATCAGTGACCTGTTTGGGAGGCGTCAGAGCTCCAGGACATCATTCAGAAATTAGTTAAGATCCCCTGCCATCACCTTGACTACTCCGATGCTTCCCACCTTTTACGTAATGGGCTTTGACATGTCATCTGAACAAACAGTGAAGCAGCAGGAGCACATTTCGCAGGGTGTGGCCCAGATGGTCATGAATATGGAAACGGAGTGTGTAGTGCCCACAGCTTAAGCCAACTCCAATGTCTCTGAGGTATTTTAGAAGAATGTTGCTGAAAGTTTTCCAATAGACAACAAGACCTTAGGACTAAAACCTGGCATCTATATGTTACAGTTTGGCAGCTAACCAGGCATGTAATATGGAACAAACACTGTCTTCCCTAGATGTTATAAAAGGTATGAATAGGAAACCATAGTATATGTCTCATTCTGGGGGATTACCTTTACATTGCAAAGGATGCACTGTGAGCAATTTTAAAAGGAGCAAAGACAGGCAGAGCGTTCTTTGTCTGATGCATGGCTCATTTTCTCATCACTGTCAAATACAATTCATTCATTCTGCATGAATGCCTTAATGCCCTACGTAAGGATACAGAGTTATTCTAGGCATTTTCACCAAGTTGAAACATTAGTGAAGAAAAGGCTCAAAGCTTAAAAAGAAAGGATTATGTGATGTGCTGTGAATGTAAAAAATAAAGAGAGAATGATTTGGTGAGAATAGGAGGGAAATTGTAAAGTGTTTTGTCCATTAAGAAAGAAAGGCACATGCAATCCATATACTACCCATTTACCATGAAACAAACTCTGCTTTAGTAGGGTTAGGCCTACATAAGGGTTAATGTAGGGGAATATCACTACAATACTAACCATTTTAGTGAAAACATATATATTTCTCTATAAATAAATCATTACTTAGACTATTTGATCATAGGTGCAAGAGTATGTTCCTCCAAATAAAAAATAAAAATAAACATTTTCCCACTTTTACCTTGTGATATCCATGCATTTAGCATGTGTTCATGCCAAGTCTAGTCAGAGTAACAGGGAAAATACCCTTCTGTCTAAATCAAATGAACTGACCCTTTAATACGGTTTGTCAGTTGATATTTGACTAAATGTTTAAAGGACAAGGTTCAGCAGTAATATGTACGTGCTGGACTGGTTTTGAGTCATCTTCTAATGTAGGGCAGAGGTGAATTAGCTTGACTCTGTGGAGGAGATGATGTCATCATGTCCATGCCAACAGCGGAGCTTTCAACAATCACTTTAAGTTGAAAATCATTAGAGCGAGTTGACTAATAGCACATTTTGTCATTGTTGTTTGTTTATGCTTTCATGTCTTTTCATTCATTTTGATCACTTATGAGTTACATTATCCCTTTTCTTTTGTTGCTGTTTGGTCAGTGGCTCTCACCACTCTGGCAGTCCATTGGCCCGCGGTGCCAGATACTGTATGTCAGCTGACTCCTCCAAGGTGTACACCATCCCCCAGAGCAGCAGCACAGGGCCAGAGCTGGGGCCGGGACCCAGCTCAGAGGCCTGTGGACAGACACGCCCACTGTCCGGTTGCACACTCCCAGTGGGCATGAAGACGAATGAGGATGAAGATGCCCACTGCACTGAGGGATCTCCCAACATTTCAGAGTGTGGGTGAGTGTGTGTGAGAGACAAAGCAAGAGAGATCATGTATGAGATCATCACCAAATGCGCTCCTAAACCACTAACAGAAATGTTTTCCTCGTTCACATTAAGTTCAGTAGCCATCATGCAAAGCTAGATGACACTCTTTTTAATCACGATAGGCACTGCTTCTCTTGCTGTAGAGGCTTCTCCAAGAGTTTCTGTTGCACTAGAGTCAGACCAATTCCAATACAAGTGCCTCTCCACCAGCTCACCCAGTGTGCATAAACTGGCCTTGATTGAAGCAGACAGTCACAAAATAAATAAGCTCAATGAACCCGCGGACATAATACACTTGGCACATGTCACTTGCTGTTATTGATTGTTCCCGTGAAGCCGCGTCCCTGTGGACTGCCGGGCTGAGCCTCTACCAGATCAGCATCTCTGCTGGGAGCCAAGCAACAATCCGCACACAAAAACACACGGCTGTCACAGCCCAAGGACACACCCCGCCACACAATAGCCTAATAGAAATACCGCACAGGAATGCATGCAGACGCTCAGCCAGGTTGAGATTGTTTACTCCCTCAGTCTTTATATAAGCAGTGACAACTGACTGTATCTGTCTGATGATGAAATAGTTTTCTGTAGAGAACAGAGAGCCATTGACGGTGAAATTGAAACACAGCTTTGATGATGTGTGTATGTGTGTGTGTGCGCTTTCTAAGGTGTTTGTGTCCGGGCTGCTGTGGGCATATTTTAAAAGGGGTTAAATGTGAGAGTTGCCCTGGAAGACACCCCCTGCGTTAGCTCCCAAGTAATTTCATTAAGCCTGTGAAATTTGCCACTTAAGGACTATGTGATTGATCACATGCAGTGAAGTCATCTCCTGCCGACTTATGAAAAAGCTCCATAATTCAGTTACCCTCCCCATTGTTTGTTTTTATATTCCCACAGTTGTATTTCATCTTACATAAGCGCCTCATGATGAATGGGCTAATATTACTCACACATATTGTAACATAATGAAGTTTCTCTTCCCCCTTTCTAAAAATGTTTTTCTCATTTGCTCTAACACTGTATGTAACGCAGGGTGTGTGCCTCCTAACCCTCGGCTGTTTCTCTCTTGCTTCTGCTTCTTGTTCCAGAGGAGCGGAGAGCTTGTTAGCCTTCCTCCTCAAAATGCTGTCTGATCGTTCAAGGTACTCAGTTAGTCAAAGTCAACCCCCCATGGCCCAGTCTGCTCCCCCCCACACACACCTCCCCAGCCCCCACCCTTTGTCCCAGAATCACCTCCCCACTCGTGACACACGCTGAGAGTGGGGGACAACCAGCTGTGCGTCAGTGGCTGTGACATTTCTGCTGTATCTCCTCCCAAATCCTGCTGTGTACTGTCCACAATACTTACTCCTTATTATCAGCCGCCATGGTGATAGAGAGAGGAGGCGACATGCAACAAGCTGTCTACACCCAAAACAGGCATGTTGTGGTTAAGTGCGCCCCAACACCCCCGCTCTTTTTGTGCTCTATGTTTTAGCCTTTGTGGTCCAGTGAAGTGTCTAACAGTGATTGGCAGCAAGACACTCCACAACGGACAGGCTGGTTTGAAAGGAGTGTTTTGTTTTAAAAACAAAATACATGTTTTAGTTATTTCATCTTCTAGTCATGAGTAAGCTGTTTCCTCGGATTCAAGTTTCTTAAGTGTTTAAATTAGAAGGGACAGAGGAAGGTAACATTAACATGCAATCAAAAATCTTTTTTCATCATTTATTAAATGTTTCCGTTATCTTCGCTAGTATACCAAGCTTAATTCATTTTTTCCCTGGATGCAGCCTTCAGAATACATCACTTTTATTTTAACCAGGCATCTCATGGATCAGTCAGAATGCTTTCGGCAATCACACATTTTCTATACCGTCTATTAGGGCTTGGTTGCCATGGTGCCAAAAGCTTAAAACAGGGCAACTCTCAGCACCAGTGTCTCTAGGTAACCGTCAGCCAGGCTGCCCATCGTCTCACCGTGCTGCAGATCCCCCGCGGCCATCTAGCGCCCTGCCAACAGCACTCAGTGTGTCATGCTCACAGGCTGCTCACTTAAAGCAGAGGTCTCACAGCCACACCACTTCACCAGGCAGGTCAGTCACATCCTCCCTTCCCAGTAAAACTCCTCAACACACTCAGCACCCTAAAAATCATGACAGACAGAAACACTGCAGAAACAAAACATGTCACCTCTTGTTGATCCTTTGCCAATCCTGTCTAGCAGCTCTTGTGTTCTCTGTTGTTGTCTGAAATCTCCTCCACAGTGTGTGGTTTGCACTTGTCTCTGAATGTAATTTCAGTCCCTTCTTTCCTCCTTCCTTTCTCCCTCTCACAGTCTGGCTGTATTCCTCACAGTGTCTTTAACCATCGGTTTGGCAGAGTGAGATGGGACAGGGTGGGATTGAAAATCAATTCCCTCCCTGCTCCCTTCTCCAGCCCTGTTACCCCCAAGTTCACCTGACTAGCATGGAGGCACCTGATGTTGGCATGCTAAGACTGATCCACCCTGAACCCTTTTGTGTGATACTGACGTTATTTTCTAAATAGCTGGGGCAAGCAGTGAAGGCCCGAGGCCTCCAATGCAGGATGTGGCTCATTATGACCTTTCTGATGAGCTCTGTTCTTCTGTGCCCCCCCCCCCTCATCGGTATGGTTTACAGGCAGATGTACGCAGAGGAGGCCTGCAGGCTCCAGGCTGCCGAGCAGGATGGGAAATCGCTGCAGAGACTTTCGAAGGAAGAATATCTTAAAATGATGCTCCTGGACAGCCCTCCAGGAGAAGACAGAAGTCGGAAGGTAAGGTCATCGTAGCTGATTGACTAACTAACCTATTAATGGCACAGTCATTTTGAGGTTGACCAATAAAACCTGTTGAAACTGTGAAATAATGATTGATAGCGTGATGACATGACATTGTTAGGATCGACCACAAACCCCTCAGGCTATTTTATCATGCTGCCTTAACAGGCGTACTACCAACAAGGCCAGAACCAGATTAGATAGCCTCTTGCTGGGAACCAACTAAAAGCCGGACAAACATCTGCTCCCGATCAGCCACTCCTGCTGCTGAGCTCACAGCTGATCCAACTCGTCTCTTCCGACACAAGACACTTTCAGTCCCCAATTGACTGGCACAGAGTGTTTGGATAATTTCATTTATAATGGAGCCTGGGTTTGCTCAGTCGGGATGTCATGGATTAAAGGCAGGGAGTTGCACAGAGTGCATCGATGTTTGATGTTCCTGCAGACTCTATTAATTGCATCTTCCATTTGCCCAACCCCCCATCCATTATCTACCCGGAAGGGACCCTGGAGACATACAAATGGGTTATTTTTGGATGCTGCTCGATCCTAATATAAATGCACTTAATTCTTACAGAAGATAGAAGGCATGCCTCTTGCACAAGCAGGCCATGTCCCTCACACGAAGCAGCTGCGTGCTCTGATCGTTTTGCCTTGTTGTTCACTGGGCTTCCAGTACATAAAATGTGATGCTTACAAGAGAACCATGAAAGCAGGTGTGTCAGGCCGTTGCTGTGATTTCCTTCTAGTTTCCACAAAGAATGAAAACAACTGGTGCACAGTACTGTATGTTGGATCCAAAGAGCGGTATATTCTTTGTTGTAACCTCAATCTCCAGTCTGATTCAGTATGATCATACAATGTGTGGAAAAGGCAGCCTGGGAAAGAGATGCATGGAGGAGGGCACAGAGCCAGAAACTCCAACCATATAAACATCTGATCCCTATAAACACATACTGTTCTCTCTCCGGGAGCAGCTTCTCCGGGACTGCATGTTTTCAATCCTCAGCTGGCACGTAAAGGATTATAAATACAGTAATGACAATGTGGGAAACACTGTTGATTTATGACACATTTAATAAATGTGTTTGATCGTTAAAAGGTTAATTTGTGTGTCACTTCCGGTATTCACCCGATGCCAGTCTTTGTGTTAGTGAGCAGGTGCGGAGAGATTTCCCTCGCAGGCCACGGTGTCCGCTGAGACGCCGTGCCACAGACAGGCAGACTATTGTGTAGCTGACGTAAAGGAAAGGCCGCTCACAGCTCATTCTCCCACAGCGTTCCTCTTTTGAACCTCCTGTGGGAAAGAAAAAAAGCATCTGAATAGGTGGTTGTCCGACACATCCTCCCAAGTGGCACGTCAAAGGGTTTCTTATGCTGGTTGTTGTCTTTGTTCAGAGCGAGCACCGAGGGAAAGAAAGTCAGGAAGAATCTCGGTAGATGTGTCACTGCTGCCTCGCCTGATAAGAGCGTTGCATTTGTGCAAAGGAATTCAAACAGCCCAAACCAGGGAGAGGACTGTTGCCAGCTGAGGTGGATTTAGACACACTGAAATAGTTGATAATCTTTCAGGTTTGATTAAAGCAATATTTTCCGCATAATGTGCAGTTAACCGACGCCAAGATGTGTTGCTGTAGATAATAAATAATAAAATAGATAAAAGAATAAATAAAAGGCTTCTGAAAAAACATTAAGCCCTTTTTGCAAATGGTTTCATTTGGACCGACTCCATGTATTAGATCTTTAAATCTGTGCTATTTTTGTTTTATATGAGAGCGCAGCAAATCCTGTTCAAAGTTGTTTTGATGAGCGAGGAGCGTTATGGGGTCTAATCTTGTAAAGTTGGGTGGGAAAACTTGTAGTTAGACAACCTTGTTGAGTTAAAGCCCCTGAAATGTTCTTTAGAGGCAGGGTGTATGTATGCTGCTTTGAGTTCTAATGCACATCGCCGCTTTAAAGACGTACTAGATGTTTGTTAAATTGTCACGGTGGGATTTGTGGGGGATCAGTCTTTTGAAATGGAGATGGCTGGGTGTTGGCCTGCGGGAATGCTTGTCTAGTGTTGGTTACAGCTGGGAAGCTAACTGCAGATATTTACCCATCTGGCCAAATGTCCAACATATCATTTGTGGCTACTTTTGATGTCACTTCTGTAATATTTATGTAAGCTAAAAGGGACAATGATGGATTCGATTGGCTTTAGTGGTTTTGTGTGTTAAAACAGGAGATCTTCTGTCAAAATTCTGGCCGCAGTCATGGAACTCGATTATCCCTGCAATGATGGGCTGTGTAATTCTTCTCTGTGCACAGACGACTGCACATCAGGACGATGCTGCTTTTCAAACCACAGCTATTCTAACAGCTTTTATTGGCTTTTATAAGTCCCACAAAGCAGAAAACACACTTTAGTTTGACTATTGCTTTACTGGACTGTGTTTCTTTGTTTTTGTCTGACTTGTAAACAAGCATACAAAAGAAAATGTGAACCGAATTCATTCACAAATGAGTGACTTTGCATTAAATTGACTTCTACACTAGTTAAATTACGTTGTATTGATCTGAATCAATAATCCCTGGGTAATAACATATGCTGGGCTTTAGTTTAAGGAAAACTATAGTATTTTTCATCTTGGCTTATTTCCTATAAATGAGGCCATTTTGACTCAATTGGTCATGCTAGCTGCACTGAAAAGATTATGATTGACATGGGAAATAATACTCCCATTTACAATAGCATACTCTGTTCTGGTACACTTATTGCTATGTGACTTTATTCTATCAAATACATCTCTGGCTTGCATATCAGCTTATATGTTTCTTCTCCATCCCGATTAGGCACTTTCTGCAGTTTCAGAATGTTAATTCTCACATTAAGCTCAGTGACTACACAGTAACCTCCGTCACTACCTCCATGAGGCCTGTCTCCTGTTTCCCCCCACTCTGCCAGACCCCATCCAGCTGTGCTCAATCCATCTGCATTTTCCAGAGAGCAAAGACTGTAATTGATTCCTGACACTGCTCCCTCATGTTTCCTCCTTACCCGCCCAGCTGCCCGCTCATGTAAACCTGCTGTGCCGAGGAAATGTCATTCAGCTCCATCATTTGCATGATTGTGCCTCTCTGTTGACAAATTGTTCTCCTTCTCTCAGGTGTCAGCGGTGGGCAGTCTGTCACCGAGACGTTCCCTATACCGGACGCTGTCAGACGAGAGTGTGTGCAGTAACCGTAAGGGTTCGTCCTACACCAGCTCGCACAGCTCCATGCTGGACCAAGCCATGCCCAACGACATCCTCTTCAGCACCACGCCACCTTACCACAGCACACTGCCCCCCCGCATTGTTCACAACCAGGGAGCCTCCAACCTGAGGAGTGAGTACAGATGAACTTTCATTTCTCATTTTACCAATCAAACTGCACATTTTCTAGGTACATTTTTCAGATGTTATTCGTTTTTCAAGGATATACTATAGCACGCAGTTCCTCCATGCTATTCCACAGAGAAAACACAGATGTTTAATGTGTATTGTTTAGACAGTGTTTTACCTATTTCATCCATGAGGTCTGTTTGTTAGGAGACACTGAAGATAATTCAGATTTGATTGAGAGCATCCTATTGGTTGAAATGACATACTGTGCCCTTTAAAGAAAACAAAACAGAACTCTGTCTTAAAATACCTCTTAGAGACAGGAAAGCTGATGTTTCTCTGCATCTATGTTGCTCTTGGATTATCATCCCTCTTCTCTGGCCCCAGATAAAAGCTAGGACATGCATACTTGTTTGAAGAGCCACTTGTGTCCTACCAATTTTCTTAGCCCAACTGGTACACACTCCAGCAACACTCCTCGATATAGACAACTAATTGGAACTGGGCGAGGCTGCGTGCGACTTCCACGTGGCTCTGTCTGCATTAAGCTGACACCTGTCACTGCTGGCTAGTATTCCCCTCTGTTCTCCAAACATCCTCTGAATATGCATTAGTGATGAGAGGTGTGATGTGTCCTGCCTGCGCCGCTGCAGGTTTTGGAAGATCTGTGACATAAACATGCCTATTTTTCCATCAGGAGTGTCTCAATGTCTGTCATACATAATGTTTCATTCACTCATAAGTCCCTGCCTGCCTCCCTCGCTGTCCCTCTCGTCTCATTTCCATACCGCTCCTCATCCCTGTCTCTGGCTGCCGTCTTTGGATAGAAAATGGCTTTTGGAAAGATGTTTCTCTCTTTGGCCTCTTCTGACTGTCAACCTGATGGATTCCTGATTGTTTTGAAGGGTAGTTGAGAACACAGGCTCTCTCTTTCCCTGACTGAAACAGCCCAATTTGGTAAACAGTGAATCACTCAAGCTCCAAGACGCTGGGTAAATTGAAAGGAGAGTGTCAGCATCACCTCAAGCTCTCTCCGTCTCCTTCTCTGCTTCTCCACTCTTCTAAATGCCTCTCTGCAGAATGGGAGCTTGTTTATTGCATTCCCCGTCTTTCAGGGCTGACAGGGAGGGCGGAGAGAGACAGAGTGGAAGGAAAGGAGATATTGATTGAAACATGAAGACATTCACTAAGACAAGTCATTTATCGCCCCTCAGACAGCGCCCTTGCGACTGGCACGCAAAGAAGGTGGTTTAATGTGAACCTATTGTGCTGTCACATAAATAGAAAACTTTTCTTTTTAGAGTGAAATCGTTTGCAACGATTAGGAGGATTTGTTATTTCGCTTCAGATTAGTATTGGACTGGAGGTATGATTGGATTGGATTTACCAAGCATAGACTTGAGCTAGGTGTTTTGATGTGCAAGACTAGAGTAAGGTTAATAACCTCCCTTTAGCAGCAACGATTTGTTTGAATAAACCCCCTCCCCTTCTACGCCCCCCCATACCTCTCCCAACCCTTCTTGTCTGCTGTGATGCAAACTGATGGGTGACTCAGAGATTAGCTCTAAACTCAGGCCAGGCCTGGACACTGATCCGAGTGCCTGCCTGTCTCTGCAGATGACTTTTGGTTCTCTGACGGCTCCTTGGCGGACAGGTCCAAGTTCAGCGACCCGGGCCTCATGCCCCTCCCAGACCCTGCCTCGGGCCTGGACTGGTCCCACCTGGTTGATGCAGCACGAGCCTTTGAAGGTAACCAGCCTGGCGGGAGCTGCTGGCACTTCGTGTTACCTCCCCCTTCTTCCTGGCTGCTTAGCGTGTGTGTGTGCAATTTTGTGTGTTTTCGTCTGCAAGTGCTAGCTCGCTTGCATGTGCAGGTTTGTGTACGCTTTGTGTTTTCTTCTAGTGTCTCCTAAGGTGCTGTAGGGACAATTTAAGGGAATGGTTTTTGCTTTTTGCGCCTCTGCTCTGAGCCCCATAGTGATTCCCATTGAGCACTGTGGCTTGGAAAAGTGAGCCACCATTTGTCAGCACAGACATGGTGCCAATTGTCAAACTATGAAGCCAGCAAACGGCCACTCGGTTAGTTTTTACAGGAATACTTTGACTGTTAAGCTGTTTGGGTGATCATTTGGGTATTTCGGCTGCTCTTTGCTTCTTTTGTCCAATAAATCTGAATATGGTCGACAAGATGTTGGATTTTCTTTAGTCCACAAAAAGAAATCTCATCTGTCCCTAAGGGGCACGTTCACTCCTTAGAATTAAAAATCTTCCTTTTAAGGTACAATGTTGTTTCTAATAAGCAGTCTGAATGGCTGCTTTAGAGTAATTGTGTTTTTTGTGGGCTCTGGGAAAGCAATTTAGGAATCAAAAGCTTACGTTAATTGCGGGGGATATTACAGTTTGTTATCTCTTGACAACATGAGTTATATGTTCCTGTCAAAACAAAATCTCTTTTCATTCACACTTATTTTCATTTAACTAGCATTGAAATGTCTCAGCAGTTCATGGTCAGCATCATCAACTTCTTTCATTTCCCCCCCTCTTTTAGTAGTTTTGCTACTTCTTTCATGCCAGTGTATTTCCCATCTATCACGGAAACGCTAACATGCCATGAGTATTTTCTCCACTTGAACTCCGACTGACCCCCGGACCAGCGATGGGGTTGCATGTGACCATTTGTTTGTTGTAATTAATGAATCCTCTGTGGAGTTTCTTCTTTGATACATTTCCTGCTGCACAGCCCGCAGCGTATCATTAAAGCAGAGTGGAATCAGTGGAGATGATGCGGAGTACTATGAAGGCAGTTGTCACGGCAGCCTGCATGGCCCAGAAAAACGCTGTGTAAACTGGAGTCTTGTTGCTGAGCAGAAAGTGTCTCCAGGCTGACATTGTGCCATGTTTAACCAGCTCTCCTTGGAGGCAGGGCAGAAAGAGGTTGCCTGAGATGTAAAGCAGTTATAATAGCACTCGTATCCTTGGTCATGTGGATCCAGAGAGACTGCTCATATTCAGTTTGGATAAGCTTAGAGCTAAAAAAAAACTGTGGCCTCCTAACATTTGAAAGCGGATGGAATTAAAAACAGTCTACATTTCAGCAACCAGTCTTTTGTTGCAATCAGTGAAAGCTCTCTTTGTCAACTATTGCATATTATTTTAATATTCCCTCGCAAATACATACAGCACGGTATGTTCACTCGCATAGATTTATTTTTCTCTTCAGTGTAATCTGTTTTGGTTTGATTATCAACAGTTTACGCAGAGAATCTGGACGCCATGTCACGGGGAAAAAATGACAAGCTGCTTTTCCTGTGCCCGTCACTGCTATCCTAGAAGTCTTTAATCTTTCTGATGCAGCCAGCACATATGAGCAAAATATTCATTCATATGTAAATTAAAGCTTGGTCTCCCTTTCCTGTCGCATCCAACTCCGGGCTCCATCAGCTTTTGTCTTGGAGTGGATTAGTTTTCATTTGGAGGCTAAATTAATAGAAGGGTTTCCTTAATCTTTTCTATGAATATGCAGATCCTCCTATCTTTAGTCTCAGACCAAGGGCTTGAGAAAAAGAGTGTGGTTTCTAAAGAAAAGAGCATTACGCCTCAAAACTGAGCAGTCCCCAAGCATAACATGCCAAGTTTGGGTTTTCCATGGGGCTTTGAGCAAGCTTAAGGGCCTGATATGGCAAAACAAGCATGACTAGTGCCTTACAGCTCTCTGGGATCCAGCCCATTATGAGTCAAACAGCTGTCAGTAGCAGCTCAGAGGGAGAAGCACCGCAGCAACACCCAAGGGACTAACTTTATCTGTGATGGTCTTTAAAAAATGCTCTGTTTTCCACCTTGTTCCCTATTGTCTGGCTATAGATTTCTCAGTATGGGAGGACTGCCTTTCAGCGCTTCAACCAAAACCATTCATTCATTAAAAAAAGCATGAATGAATCGCCCCATCCTGTCACGAATGCATGCATGCGAGTGTGTTGTTCCGCTCTATTTTAGTTGTGTTTATCATGTTGGCACCATGAAGTGCCTTTCTGAACACATTTCCTGTCTTTGATGTTAAGGGCAGATTATGACCTGTTGCGTCACCTCTTCTGTCTCCAGACCAGCGAGTGGCCTCTTTCTGCACCATGACGGACATGCAGCGGGCGGAGGCTCTACATATCTCCAGAGAGCTGACCAGACGGGTGGTGGAGGCGGAGGGAGCAGCCCTGGGAGCAGAGTAGGCTAAAACAACAAACACACAATTACCAATGTTCCAGTAGCAAGTGAAAAAGGGACTGTTTGTTAGAGCCTGCCCACAAACAGAGATTTAATAATCATAGTTTAGCAACCCTAACTCGACATGGTAGGCCTGTCCAGTTTAGGATTTCTATACCAAAGGACTCTATCCATGATTTATTTGCTAACTGTAACTACAAAGGGACGTGTCATTAACTAATGCATGTATAATGTTATTTTGGGTTACAGGTAATATGAATCCAAATCTGCATTAGGTAATGTTATCTTTGCAAAACTCATCGCTTGTTTGTTATATTCAAATCCTTCTCTGTGGTGAAAGAGAAACATCCTCTAGCATAAACCTAAGCTCTCTATTGCTTATCAAAATATTTCCCAAATTGTAAGCAACTAAACCTTTCAGGATTATGTGAGAACAAGTTTTTGTGCTTCCTAATGCCGTAATAAAATGGTAAGGCTTAGCAGCTCCACATTGGAAAACATGAAAAATGCACTCCCTTTATTTCCAAATCCACTTACACTTAAGATCTGTCTGTTAGCATAATATCAAGTGTGAGTCTAACATATTTTAAGATAAAAAAAAAACAAATATAAAAAAAGTAAGCTGGCAGCTCAGAGCGTTTTAGCATTAGCATTAGCCTACACTAGGTTGCTAGCTGATTATAACATTGTTATAATCAGCTAGCGACCCTCTTGTTTTCAGACACAAAACTCCATCGTCCAATTCAAATAATGGGAAAACGGACAGCTTGACAGGCATAACAACAGTAATTAAAGGGGGCGGGGCTTATCTAACTGTCCATTATCAGCTCCTGTATCGCTGTAGAAGAGGTCTTTGTGTTTTATTCGAAAAAGGTGTCTTTCTTGAGTCTTAACAACACCCTTGTGTCCCCCTACAGCGGCGCCCCCGCCACACTAACCGGCAAAGTCAACCAGTTGGAGGTGATCCTCAGACAGCTGCAGTATGACCTCAGAAAGGTGAGGTCGCATATATCAAACTGATTTCTTGATTCTGTCTTTGTCACCTTTTTGCCCTCCTTTGCCCTCCTCCAGGTCAGCAAACAGTGCATGTCTGTGTCACGTAGCTCAGGAGAGCAGACATTGAGTAATGCATGCCCTGCGGTCTGTGTAATACAAACTCATCCACTTAATTCAATATCCTGCTTCCTTCCCTCATTGTGTCCCAGCCCAACATTTCCCCACCTCGACTAATGCGCTTAACATAGTGACGGGAAGTGCACTTTAATCAGAACAGAGAAAAGGCTGCTTTGCCATGTTAATGCCTCCCATTAACACGGCACTGACGACAGATGCATGTTCTTATAGGGGGGGATTTCATCAACTTCCATTTGTTTTTGCCTCATGTCCCGGTGTTGATTGTCTGTGTGTTTCTTTGTGTTTCCAGGAGAAAGAGGATAAGGTGATGTTGCAGGAGGAGGTGCAACACCTGAGACAGGACAACATGCGACTGCAGGAGGAGAGCCAGACGGCGTCGGCTCAGCTCAGGAAGTTCACAGAGTGGTTCTTTCACAGCATCGACAAGAAACCCTGAGAAACCCGCAGGAAGAGAGCAGGAGACGGCCTTCACTCCTCCTGGGCACCCACTCAACTCCTACTTTAGACTCCCAGATGATCCACAAGCCAACAAACTATAGAACCAACCATTACCAGCCCCCCAGAGTAATGAAAACTATTTAAAAAGCCCCTGCTTAGGAGACTGTAGCAGCCCTGTGTGGAGAGACTTGAAACCCTGATCTGGAACTTAGTTTTGGGATCCTCCTCTGACTGAAGTGCGGAGCTGTTTCTGATGTTAACGGTTTCTTTATCCTGACTAAAGGGGCTCATGGGAAAACCTTGTGCGCTAGAGAGGAATTGAGAACCCTTGAGAGCCTTGCTCTGGTCCCTGGGATCTTCTTACAGTAGTGGAATGTAAAGCTCTTTTACTGTAGTCAACATATAATCTACCTACGTATGTCACGTCAGTCTACTGTGCTGTATACTCAGCTGTACTGTATCGTACTGCACACTGTCACACAGCTGTTTCTGTGCCGGCCTTAACAGACACAGGAAAGTGGAGAGGGTAAGGCGAGGAAGGGGGAGGAATGTACTGGACTTAATGAAGTGGTACTGACTGTCTGCTTGCACCAAGAGGAATCCACATGTGGCGGTCTTGAAACATAAAGTCCAAGGGGGAAAATGAATGTAGCTCAACAGAGACCCTTTTTTTCTGGATTTCTGTTTCCCTGGCTCCCAAAACGTTCACGCTTTTGATGTTTTGGGTTTTTGTTTTTTTTCTTTGAACAAATTCCCCTTTTTACTTTTCCTCAGTGTTGTAATGTAGGGTCACATGGCAGTAATTTTGATGTTTCAAGGTGCTTTTCCCTACACACATTCATCAGTAGTTTCCATTCACTGTCACAATGTCCTAGCAATAATGAAGTGGTAGTTACAAAACTGTGTTTTAAAATGAAAAAAGAGAAAAAGAAGTTAGCACAAACGTGAAGAGTTCCTGTCGAGAAGCAGTTGTACTTGACATGTATTTATAAAACAGGACAGACTGTGCCTAAAACTCTTGGTTGTAAATGGATTGTTTCTCTTTGCTTTTATTTCTCTTTTATAAACACATGCCTTGTCTGTGGCTCACTGATATCAAATTGTATGTATGATTGTGTGTGTATGTGTGTGTGAGAGTGTTTGATAGTGTGTGTAGTTTATCACAGCAAATGTGTTCTTATGCAGTGGTTTCTAGAGCATTAGAGCAAGCGCCAGTGAACCACACTTACAATGCCAAATGTGTTTATTTCTGTACATATCTGCCACAGAAGTGTCTTGTATTTAACACTATTATTTAAGCTTATTTAACCTAAAGTTGTTTATTTTATTAAAGGTATTTTTTTTTCTGCACTAAGGAGAGATAACGCTCTGTGTATGTTGTAAAGTGTGTAGCTTGCCAGGGCAAAAAAACAACTATATATTTAAATATATAAATGATGATTTTGGAGATTCCAACATTTGGATGCTGCTAGATTACAGTTTGCTGGTTTGTATGCTTTTAAAAATGTGTCTCTCCATAAACTGTCTCATCCCTGGTGGGACACTGGTTGCTTTTTTTTGGTTTTGTTCATTTTTTGGTTTTGTTTTTTTAATAAATGTAGTTGTAAAAATAAGCCCCTATTGTGTTCTTAAATGCTTTTGTTTCCAATATTCAGAATTTCAAATGTCATGATCCCCTCAAGTTAACCCCAGTGGTGTTCAAACATATTACCATTTCTGGGGGGTTGTGGTTGTTGAGTTTTTGTTTTTTTCTTAATATGTCATTAAGAAATCGTTTTTCTGTGGAAGTATTTATAATTTTTATTTTTTTTAAAACAGCTCAGCTCAGTTTGAGCCAAAGAGAGGGTTAGCTTAGCTTAGTTTAGCATAAAGACTGAAAGCAGGTGTTAACAGCTTGCCTGGCTATGTTTAAATAAATAGCAAATGACCCCCCGTGAAAACTAAGAAAAAGTTTCCACGAACAACATATAAAATGTAAAAGAATGAGCCTTATACTGTAGGGTGTGACCTTTGCACAGAGCTACGCTAACTGTGTTCCCCTCTAGTGCTACGCTAAGCTAATTGTTGCTTTATACATTTTGTGTGCAGGTGAGAGTGGCAATTAGATTTTCCTCCAACTCTTGTTACGAAAATATATAGTGCATGTCAAACTATTTAACAACACTTTCAAAAATTCGTAATATAAGAGATTAAGTCCTCATACAGAAATGCTTGCTTTTAGTGGGTGAAAACGTTTCAAAGTTACTAGCCCTACACCACAGCTCTGCAGGGACTCAAAAAATAGGAAAGAAAAAAATCTCTCTTGCACTCAAAGACTTCTGAAGTTTTGAAGATAGCTGCTTGATATGTGAATCTATATTTACATGTTCTGGTCATCAAAGTTCAGCTTATTCCTTCATCCATCTTTCAAGTGAGCTCTGAAAACTCCCAGTGCCTCAAATGCAGGATCAGAATAACAAAGAACTGAATGTCGATTGAACTGGCAGATATTTTGACAGATTTTCAAACATTCAGTCTGCATCAAAAGCATTACAATTAAAGTGAATATGAAGCTGAGTATATGTCCTCATCAGATGTGATCAGAAGAGCCCATTTTGGACAGTACAATTGTTGAGCTCCCTCAGGAGAAGACAAGGATGACAACCTCTTGTGTGAGACTTTGATCTGCTATTTTGTAAACAGCAGGTGTGCTAAGACTTTCGAATGGAAACATGAAACCATAATGTGTTTGTGACTTGATTCCCTGTGAGCTGTTGTGCTTTAAAAAAATGACAGATGTTGCTTTCACCGCTGGGACGGCAAAGGACATGCTGAATAATTAATCATAAGCCTTTTTGGGTGTGCAGAGAAAAACAATTAAATTAGTTTCCTCCTTCCTGCCTAAACCTCCAGCCCAGCTGCTGGAGTGTGGTCCAATCTATGGCGTCCTCTCAGGGCTTGTGGCTGTGCAGGTGCTTGGATCTGTGGGTAGGGCTGGTTTGGCTGTATCTTTTTTGGATTCATTTTTTCCCACATTTTGGCTCACTGTTGAGGGAGTTGGAGCCAGTTGCAGTTAGCTTGTTTGAAATGTTTTTATTTGTGCTTCACCTCTGTGTCAGCAAAGCTTGTCTGAGGCAAATCCAATAAAAGCTTCACCCTAGTATGACTTTATGAGGGAAGCTGGAGGTCACAGCCTGTTCTGACCTCTCCATCAACCGCCACTCCGCCCTATTGCTGGTATAAAAATGCCTGGATGGCTATTTGTGAGTGGATTTGTCTGGGTTTGGCCAGCGTGCTTGAGATGAGGTAGTTAATCTACATTTGTCTGTGCAGTGCCAGGACAGCAGATGGGAGCTCACACTGGCACAAGGCGAAAGTGTTTCAGATGGAGAAGGATTTCAGGTTGTGTTGAGGGCACGCTCAGGCTCTTGACCAGTGACTAAAGAGAGGCACCAAATGACTTTGGCATCAAGGAGATCTGGAGAAAGATCCATGGACAGAGGAGGTGTAAATGAAAGATAAAAAAAAAATACATGGAACCAATTAAAGCCTACAATGTTATGTTGGGATTTTATCAGCCTTGCAAAATATGGTGACAGGCAGTAAAGTTAGACCCAATCGAACATCCACTCTAACCAGATGGAAGAGCTTACAGCCATGCATTGATTTCTAATATTTGACTGTCAGCAGTAAATATATTGAATGTTGGCGTTTCTCCTCCGCTCTGGACTGACCGTCACCAGTCAAATCCTACACTGATTTATTTGGTGCTCATCGCACATATAGCATGTGACTGGCGACACAGTTGTCCTACTTCCAAAGTCCCACAGCAGATGCTCCCCTGCTGTGAGTGCCACCCAAGTCAGGATCACGTTACCTAAAATAGGGCTCAGTGGGGCCAAAGCGCAGCTGGCAGTGCACGAAGGGAGAGGGGAATCTATCGACTGTGTGTGTAGGTCAGACTGTGGTTACCGCAAGCCAAATATCAGGTTCCCTGCAAACAATGGATTAGATTTGAGGTTTCTGTTGGATTCATCTACTCTACTGGGATAGCAGGGAATTATTCATATATGAGAAAGTCTATCTATGCATTATTCAGAATGGCTGTTGTGTTTAATCCTTGGTTCAATATGTTGATTCCATTATTTTTCAAATTTACCAGAAAGTTGGATGTATGAATTATTGACAACTAGGTAGGATCAAGTCTTCGTTCTGGAGGTCACAGGTGAAGTCCCAAGTCCTAAACTTTAAGTTTCGAGTCCTAAAGTCATTATGCGCTCATTACCAAATGTAATGAAATATTTTTCCCGCTTATTTTGCATACTGTATGTCCTTTTTTTTGTTGACCACCATATCGTTTATGTATGTTCATTTTTACAACTGGCGCTCATTAGAGTAATCTAAGTAATCAAGGTTCCATCATGAAACTTGATTAGATGCTGTCAATTCTATCATAGTGGATCTGGGGATTAAGAGTCGACTAGTTGTGGATTCATACCGTTAATTAACAGATTGTATGTGTTTTTAGAGTTAAAAAGGTAATGTCATGTGACCCGAGTCCACAGCTCTGTTGACCACAACTCAGGTATTAAGCACTGAGGATGGTTAAAAAAAACAAAATTCAACAGTTGGTTTGTCATTATAGTTACCAAAACTCCATTGTGTTGTGTGCCTGGAGGCCTAACAGCAGGATTAGCTCTCTCACCTGGTCTGCTTATCTGTGCAGCTCATCTCTCCTCTGCAGGCGCTTTAAAATTCCCTCTGGCTCACTGGGGAGCCGCATCACACACACAACACAAAAGAAAGGAAGAGAGGAGAAAAAGGAAGATCCTCCAAACCTTCAGACAGTCATCTCTCCCATCTGCCTCCCAGGTTCCCCCGGGCCTTCCTTATCTGTCACTCTTAGCTGAACCTAGTGAAGGGCGACATTTTATAAGCCACTCGCTTCAATAGAAATCAGAAAAGGGTAAAGAAAAAAAACATTTTCAGGAAAGGTCATTGCTGGCAGGAAAACTTGAAATCTCACTCATCCAGCATGGAGGAAAAACTCAGCCAAGCCTGTGAGTTGTAGGTGTGGGAATAAAGGGACGGCACACATGACTTGTATTGTCTGTGTTGTTTCACTGCCAAATTAGATAAAGCAGACAGGAGCAAATAGATAAGACGGCCTGCTGAATTATCTTCATTTGCCAATATGTCCTTGTCTGTTGTCCTTTTCAGCTTCAGAGCAACAGCCAGTCCTGATATCGATTGTCAATCGGCGGCTTCCTGTTCAAACAGCCGCGCCCGTGAAGAGGCTTTCAAGACCGTTCGGCTGAGTGGGAGACCGAGATCTCCATGCTGACTTCCCTTTTTTTAATTTAAGGTATTGATTATGCAAAGTTGAATTGGTCTGGCCTGGCCTATGTAGCTGAGTTTTAGAGGGTCATGGGAATATTGATGTCTGGAGGGTGAATGGTAGGTGCGAAAGTGGGGGCGTATAGTACCGAATAACAACCAACCCCCACTGACCCATCATCAGCAATAAAAGCTTAACTGGAAAAGGGAATCGATCCTGTGTGAGAGAGGATATCAGAGACACTGGAAGGTCAAATGCAAAAATGTGATTGTCTGGTTGGCAAATCGAGCTCAGAAAATCTGGCGTCAAAATCAAACTATAAAACAGGGTGCTGTGTCCATGTGCAAGTATCACAACAGACCCATTATTATCTGGTGCCTTGTGTTGTTAAAAAATCAGCTTCACGCCCATTAAGGTGATCTCACCTATCATTGGCGTCATTTGTATATGACTGAAGCACATTTTATACCGAAAAAACGCAAAAGCTTTGAGGTCTGGTTTAAAAATGTGGTTCACAGCACCATTCAGATCAGAGTTCCTGGAAGGTCCATACCCAGATGCACGCCCAATTCTTTCCACCGTATTCTCAGGGTTGTTATATATCCGAAATAGCAGATGTCTCCATTCTGATCTGTGGAACAGATGTAAAAATGTGATAAAATGTCATATCAGGTCTCTCACTTCCTTGCAGTGAACTCTTTTTCCATTCTCTAAATAATTTTGTATGACCTAACAACACTCAAGAGTCTCCAGCCGTGCTTGCAACTCAGTGAGGTTTTACTCAGACAAAGGATTGCTGGCAGTGTCAGCCATTCTTGAAAATGCTAAAACGATGATATTTAGCAGCATATTTATACACCCAGATTATACTTGTTTGCTTACTCTGAGCCAAAATGTCCAAAAATCGTATGCAAAAGTGCTTGTTGGTGATGTTTCAACTGGAAACTGTATTTGTTGGTGCTGCGATACTGTTAGAAATGTTCCTGACATTTTGTGTACCCTTATTTATATTTTACTGTATGTCATTTCTGAAACTTGGGGTACTTCAATCAAAACAATAACAGATACGGATTTGATCACATGACGTGGAATGAGCTGTCTTCATCGTAAACAACCACTATTGCAGGTAAAACTCTAACTGACACAACTGATAAATGTTCACTTATGAGGTAATGTATTAGTTGTATTAATGTAAAGTATATTCAGGTTTATTTGCGTTATGTCACTTTATAATGCTAGCTAACGTAAAGTTAATTTGCTATCTTAACATTAAATTAGTTAAGTACCCACACAGCT